TTTGTGTGCATACTCAATATCGTTTTTGTAAGAAGATAATACTTACAAAATCTTACGCTACACAATTTATTATATGTATTTTAGGAAATATTAAACAATGCCATAAAGAGGTAAATTTCGATTGTTTGTTTGCATTCAATAGACTCCATAACTTAAAACATTATTTTCCCATTAGAATGCCAATATTATCCCTGATAGCTTTTTAATGATTAAATAATTTTTTTTCACAATCGTTAAGGATTTGTATGAAAACTTGTATACCCATATCAAGCTCAGGTAAGCTGTTAGTTGTAGATACTTTTTGTACAACTGCTATGCTAATGATGGTAGCAAAAACAAACTAAAATCTTTCATACTCTTGAAGAAATACTATTTTTAATCTATTTGTTTGCGTGTCTGCATATCACATTTCACTATGTTGGTTCTCTTAACATTAATTCAATATATTATTCTTCTTTATGACAAAATGTAAAATTATAAATACTGTCAGTGTATAAATCTTATTAGAATTATTATAATCCTACAATAGTTTATAACCAAATTGACAGATTATAAAGCAACATTTACTATTTTATGTTGACATATAAAGTTTACTGGAATAATACATTCTTGAGCTCTCTTCTGAAATTCATAAAATCCTCATATAGATACAGTTGTGTAATTTTTCTGTTCTATAAGCAAGAATATTAATATTGTAAAACTAATTTTCATCTTACCAAACATCCACCATTAAAACAATATGTCAGTAGACATACTAATATATGAGAGCGAAATATGAACCTAGAATAAATGTTGTTAAAATTGTGACAGTTAAATAGAATTTAAAGACTAACAATCGCGGACAGTATCTTTAATGAACAGATAATTTTAAATAATGACAAAATTTACAAATGTTCCCTTGAATCGGGCAAGTGGAAAGAATGAAACTTAAAATTTATATACATATAACACAAAATTAAAAAGATCTGGAAGCTGTGGAAAGACAAGATGCGTCTCATGATCTTATTGAATGGGCAGGGCACACAGCTCATAAGACAGCTAGCCGTTGGGGCAGTAAAGTTCTCAAATGGAAAACATGGAATGGAAAATGAAGCAGAAGTCCTGTAAACTGGACAGACAATCTGGAGAATGACGACCATACAACATCAATCTTTGTGGTGATTTATAGGGGCCTTTGTCTGGCAGTGGAACATACAATTAACCTCCCACCTTTATCATTCATCACCGTTTGGTTCTGTCAACTGGGGCTTATCAACTGTTTTGTTTTTTATTAAGTGGGTACTCTAGCAATAAATAAAGCATTTATACCATTATTTTCTTTCCTAAATTTGTGTCACCGAAGGGTTTTCGGAATTTAGTCGTTGTTGTGCATCATTGCTGTTGTGTTACCGAATTCACATAGCCCGTTATTTTCTATCATAGTTGGCGAATATTGTTTTATTTGAAATTATAGTGTTTGCTCATTGTTTGTGATTGCAAAAAACGCCACTCGATGCAACTGATGTAGCTAGGGCAGTGGCTTTAGCTGTTGCGGGGTATAGTCAGCGTCACTTCGCTCGCACACTCTGTGTACCTCGAACTGGTACGAGTTGCTATCAGACGATTTCGGGAGACAGGTTTATACACAAGCAGGCCAGGTCAAGGCCGACATCGATGCACTTTGACTAGAGATGACCATTTCGTTGTCATCAATGTGTTAAGAAATCGTTTATCGACCGTTACTGAAGCTCGTACACGTCTTTTTGAGGTGAAAAATGTCAGTGTCAGTTAACGTACCATTAGAAGAAGACTAGTAGAAAGTAATTTGAGGCTTTTTCGTCCAGCTCGCGCTTCGCAACTGCTCCCACAACACCGTAGATCTAGACTTGGTTTTGCGCAAGAATATGCTGACTGTACTGTAGAGGAATGGAAGAACGTACTGTTCTCAGATGAGAGCAGTATATGTCCACCTTAAGAGGTCCAAATGGTCGTCAGCGTGTCGAAAGGCGTCAAAATAAGAGGTTTGCTCCATGCGCTATAACTGAAACAGTAGGTTACTAGGGAGGGTCCATAATGGTGTGGGAAGATATCTCTTATGAGGCTCGCACCGATCTTATTGTGTTCTATAGAGGAAGTGTAAACGCTTAAAGATACGTGGAAGAAGTTCTTCAAGACCATTTCATACCTTTTGCTCAGTTCATTGGTGACAACTACAGATTAATGCATCATGACAACGCACGTTGCCATACCGCAAGATCCGTCAGTGAGTACCTTAATGAGGTCGGGATTCAAGTTTTACTATGGCCCGCACGCAGTCCCGATCTTGACCCTATAGAGCACATTTTGGGACAACCTTAAAAGACGTGTCCGAGCAAGAGTACCAGTCCCTCCGACTATAGGAGGGCTAAAAACGGCTGCAGTAGAGGAGTGGCAAAATATCCCCCAATCGGATATGTATGTCTATGTCTTGAACATCATGGATGGATTGACAAACTGGCTCCAAGAAGTCATAAGGGCCAGAGGTGGTAAAACCCACATTTTTTTTTTGCATTAGGCACCACCCCCTGTCACATGCCAGGCGGCAGGGATAGTGCCTAATGCATTTCCTCAACGTATATAATAAAAAAAAGTATAGTTTTAAACATCCCCTCCATAAAATATGGTATAAGTTTGGCGAATTCTGCGAATTGAAAGAAATAGACGGTGGGCAGTTAGATTATCATAGTTATATCTTTAACTAAAGTTAGGAAGTTTAAACTTTGATTCATCGATTGTAATCATATTACGATATTTTCAGTATTAGTAAAAATATTATTATAGAAACATATTGGTTCGTTGTAAATTGTAATTTATTATTGGTAAAGAAGAGTTGTTCATACTCTAAGCATTATAGTTAAGCATCATAGTAACCTGTGACCATTTACTAATCGAACAACTGTTCTAATTAATCTTCAGAAGCCCAAGAGATCACATTCTCAAGAGTTCCTTACTTTATCTGCTAAAGATTTCATTAAAGTTTACCGAGCGACAATCATTAGAAATATTTTGACATTCGATATCGCTTACTACATTATTTGAAAGCCTTTACTAACCCATAGTTATTAAAATATTTTAATAGTGCCTATTGTCAGTGGTACTTAGTTTAGAGGCAGTGCTCCAAAAGCCAAATCATCAATGTTTTGTTAACAAGCCTACATTTAAAGCATTGTTCTTACTCGTTTGAACAATAACATCAGTTGCGTACAGGCAGAGCGTTTCGTGCGTGAGATAGGTCGACTCATTACTAATAGCTGCTTAAGCCAGGCTGTTTGTCTAATTAATCTATTCTACTTAGCAAATATTAAATTAGATTATTGAACCAATAAGGGGTTTCAGTTTGTTAATGGTTGTTTTTTTGTACTGATAGTGTTTATCTATTTTTTTACACGGCCAGAGTGATTTAGAGATAATGTTTCATGATTATTGTTAAGGATAGATTTATTATAGTTAAATTTAGTTTAAGCGTAAGTGTAAGCAAAGTTTTATTACATGCCGCGTTTACCTAAATCTTATTAATACCTATACCAAATTACAAAAACGTAAGTACCGGAGCAATGGAATCAATGTAAGTGATGTTAGTCGTACAGTGTTTCGTCATTGTTGTTGTTTATTTAAGGAATGTTATTATAATTTCATAGACACGTGCCGTGCGAATACTACCTACTGATTTCATCGCATTAATCTCAAGTGCATTAAATAAAATGCTGGTTTTAAAGTAACATTTAGAAATTGCCGAGTGTGTGAATTGTGACGGGACTAGAAATTACACACGTGCTCCTACTGTTAAATAGCTTTCTCGTCGGTTGCGGACCATTCATTACTTTAAAGAAATTGAGAAAAAATGTTAAAAGCATGATTCCAAAACAAACTGCCATATTCCGCGATCCTCGCGACGCTTGCTACCCACGTGGCTGCTCTATTTCTTTACCGTATACGAATTTCTAATTATTTCTTTGGCTGATATGGAAATAACTATAATTTCACATATCTCTTAATTAGGTTATTCACTTTCTATTAATTTCGCACAAAGAAATAATAACTGAATAAGCTGTAATTGAAAATGAAAATTTTACATATTTATAGGAATTTTGTCACAGTCGACGCATTGATGGGGGTTTTAGTATGGACTTTTTTATATTTTGTTTTTCAGATATACATGAAATATATCTAAAAGAGGTATCATTCATATAATATTTTAAAATCTAAAAATAAATTAAATTTACAAAATTGCCCGCCAAAATGCCTCTTCTGTCATGGCGTCGCTATGACATCACGTCCCTCTAAAACTAATATTATTCAACCTTATGCATACATATAGTTTGAATTCTCTAGGTTCTGATAGGGGTGACCATCACACGCTGTTTACGACAACGAGTATAAAAATATTTGTTTTTCCATAATTATTTTAATCAATATTATAAATGTAATAAGGAACCAGAAAAAAATGTATTTATTTTCGTGTACTGTCTACACCCGTATTGAAAAAAAAAATCTCATTAGTAATATTCAATCAGTTACCCTAATATTCACAATTATGTAATTATTTTATTTATTAGGAAAATAGTCAAACCAATAATCATCAGAAATTAATTTAAAAAATATCTATCTCAATGACGCGTAGATTTTGTCTCGTTTTCTCTTTTTGAACAATGTTTTATATAATTATAATTAGGCAACTATTGGAAAACAAGGGAAAACCAAGAACATGCTTTCGACTTTTAAAAAGTTGCAAACAATAGTAACACATTTAAGAACGGTGGAATAACATTTCAATTGGAATTTTCGTTTCATTATATTTGTCTTAGATAAATAACCATAATTAAGAAGTATCTTAGGAAAAAAAGAAAGCACTAAAAAGCACCTCACTAGATGGCGACTCTACCAAAAGTAGATTTTTGCAGGAAACGAATGGATCAAAGATAGCCATTTCAGTTCCTTTTAATTAACTATTAAAAAACTGAAATTTGCAAAGTCCGAAACTTGTTATATAGATATCAATACAAATGCGAAAAAGTTGAGTTGATTATTCAGTTTTTTATTTACTTTTATACTTGAAAGAAAACCGGAAAGGTTGTCATGGAGACATCAACAAAGTACCGTAGCGACATCTAGTTTTATTTCGGGAACTATTTTTTTAAATACTTCCTCATTGAGCGTGTTTCGTTTGTTTGTCTGCAGTAGAGGTGGTGAGGCATGATGATGCACATGTGGATGTGGTTCGGGTATGACCTGGGTGAGTTCATGTTCCCCGGATTGAACATCACCACGCGATGGTCGTTTGCCCTCACCTGGATCGCGCTGTTCTTCATTGCACTTCTGTTCGAGGCATCGAAGGTTAGTTAATCTGTCTGTTCATATGTCCGGCAATTTAAAGTTAGGTAAATCTAATTAGAAGTGTCTTGTTTAATGGTGAGAAACTCTATGTAGTTAGCGAAATATACACTGTGGTTATCGGATTGGTGATCAAAATTTGTCATCTTGATAACTCAGTTACACTGGTCGATGATATCCGCATATGATGTGGAACAGATTTCGACCTCTGTTTCTGTATTTGTTTTTTATCGCTGTATAAGTTGGCAGCCCTTGACTACCAGACGTGTGCACGCATTCACATATACTAACTTTTTCTATCTCTGTGGTAAAGCTTACAATGTCGTAGCACTAATTGTGGTCGTAGAGTAGAATGCTATTTCAAGTATGATGTGTATGTAATACAACTTGTATTTGTTTTAGGTATACTTAGCCAGTGTGCAACGGGAAGCTCACAAAAAATTATACCCATATAAATCTGATGAAAGAAGAAATTTGCTGTGCGACAGGTTAGCTATAAATTTGATACATATCTACTTACGCTTGTCACACACATAAGGATCTTTTTTCTGTTGTTAGTTGAAAATCAGCTAAGTGCCAATTGGACCAAAAATGATAACTAATGAAAAATTTACTGCAATAAAAATATGATTTATATGGAGGACTTGCCAGAAGTCAGCTTGGACGAAATTGAAACGGCTCTAATACAGCTAAAAATTAAAGCCCCAGGCGAGGACGCCATTACGACTTTGAGGAAGGAATTCCAAAAAATCTTTAATGTCTTTCTTTTCGAAGGAGAACTTCAGAAGCATGGAGCAGGAGCGTTGTCATATTGTTCTTTAAAAAGGGAGACTAAACCCGTCTGAAGAACTCCCTCTTGAGCCACGTCTACAAGCTGTTCGAGAGTCATCACAAACCGTCTCACGAATTTCGAAGAGGTTATGGTACCGTAGACCATAACCACACAGTGCAGCAGATTGTACGAAAAAGGGAAGAGTATAATCGGCCCTTGTGCTTTTACTATTGGTAGACTACGAGAAAGTCATTGGATCAGTCGTGACCTGGTCTATCCTGGAGTCCTTGCAACTGTGCCAAGTCGATTGGCGGTATATCCAAGTGTTGAGGTATCTTTACAACGCCACAACCGTTACCGGTCAGGTCCAGAATCTACAGACTGAGCCTGTCTCTTTGTATAGAGGTGTGAGACAAGGAGATGTCATATCCCTCAAATTGTTAGCAAATGCATTAGAGCATATGTTTAGTTACTCTGGACTGGAATAGAGGTGGAATAAACAAAAATGGTGTACTTGCGATTTGCGAACGACATAGTTGTCATGGCTGAAACGTTGCAGGATCTACAACAGATGCTGAATAACCTAGCTGATTCTTTTCTACGCATAGGTCTTCAGATGAACTTGGATAAAACGAAAGTCATATCCAACTCCCATGTTGTACCGAGACCGATTATAGTACAAGGCAGTGTCCTAGAAGTTATTTAAGAATATGTTTGCCTCGGGCAAATAATACAGTTGGGCAAAAACAACTTCGAAACGGAGATCGGTAAAAGAACACAGTTGCGTTGAGCTGCTTTTGGTAAACTATGTCAAGTTTTCGCGTCACTATCCCATTAAGCCCAAAGAGGAAAGTCTTCAATCGGTGTGCCCGACAGCCGAAACGTGGACTTGTCTATAAAATTAAAGTCACTCAGCGAGCTATAAAGAGTTATATGCCCGGAGTTTCTTTTAAGGATCGAATCCGAAATGAGGTGATTAGTTAAAAGTAATCGAACGTAGCCCACCGGATTAGCACGTATTCCGAAGTGACAATGGGCAGGCCACATTAGCCGGAGAACTGGCAATCAGTAGCGTAAACAAACTTTAGAGTGGAGACCGCTGATCGGCAAACGCAGTGTGGGACGCCCTCAGACTAGATGGGTAGACAATCTTCGGAAGGTAGCTGGCAAAAACTGGACGATAGCGCTTGGAGAGGCCTACATCCGGCAGTGGACAAACATGTGCTGATGATGATGATGATTTGGAAAACACGGCAAAATTAGAACACAAATTAATAACCTACATTACTGAATTTAAAAAAGTGAATATGTAAGTTTATCTGTTATTTATGGGGCAATGAACTATATTCTATATTTTCCGAAATTCGTTCGGAGCTGTTTCGGAGGTAAAAGGAAGAGTGGTGAATTTTCGCCTTATTTTCTCAATCAATCATGGGTTTGTTTCGTGGCATAAGTGAAGTGAGTTTAGAAATGACATAGGAATAGAATATCTGAGACATGTATAATCAACAAATTTGTTTTGTATTTTTATACAAAAAATTAAGACACATAGGTAAGTCAATTTGAATTCGAGTTTGGATTTTTACAGAATCGTAAGGCTGCTGATAAATTACATACAAATTTATTCAAAATTTACATATAAATAAATTAATAACAATCATATTTCCTGAAGTTAACAAACTAGCCAAACTAATAGTTCCGATTGTGTAGCGCGTCAACTGAACGATAATTTTCTTGCTTAAAAAGATTTCATACATATCGTAATATGCAACATACAGGGCCAGAGCGGACAAACACAGATTTATCTATAATATCTCTTGAAAAAGAACTTGTAAAACTATTAGGTCCTTACATATGAAATTGGCGTTTTGTCGTACTGGCCACTTTAATCACAAATTTCTCCTTCTTGGTTGGGAATTCCAAAATCAAATTTACACATGTTTTTGTGTTTCGTTAGGCGGCATTCATTTGTTTTTTTTCTTCTGTTTGTTCTATTTACATTCCTTAGTATAAAAAATGAAAAACTTGCAATATCGTGTTATTTACGAGTACGAGTTGCACCATGGTACCAGTGCTGCGGAAACGGCTCGAAGGGTTTAATGATGTGTATGGCGGTAGAAAACAGTGCGTTTTTGGTTCCAACATTTTCGTTCTGGAAATTTCGACCTGCAGAACAACAAGGACGGCCGGAGACCCAAGTTAATAATGAAGATTTGAAGGCTATCGTGAAAGCGGATCCATCGCAAACCACGTCTGAGTTAGCTGCAGGCTGCGGTGTTAGTGATAAAACTGTTTTAATCCACTTGAAGCAAATTGGAAAGATTAAAAAGCTTGAAAGGTGGGTACCTCACGAATTGAGTGAAGCAAACCGGTAAACGCGCTTCGACTGCTGCGTTACATTTCTTAACCGGCACAATAATTAAGGAATTTTAAATCAAATCATTATCTGTGATGAAAAGTGGATTCTCTACGATAATCGGAAGCGCTCATCGCAATAGTTGGACCCTGGTATGCCAGCCAAATTGACCTCAAAAAAGTTACTTATAAGCGTTTGGTGCACTAGTGCCGGTGTCGTTCATTACAGTTTTCTCAAATCTGGCCAGACGATTACGGCAGACTTATTGTCAGCAAATGCAAACCATGCTGGGAAAATTAGCTGTTAAACAACCGAGGCTGGTCAATCGCTCTACGCCACTGCTACTTCACGATAACGCTAGACCACACACTGCACAACAGACGGCTACCAAATTAGAAGAGCTTCAATTGGAATGTCTAAGACATCTACCGTACTCCCCGCACCTTGCTCCAACAGATTACCTTTGTTTTTTGAAATTTGGATAACTTCTTGCAAGGGAAAAAATTCAACTCCGATGGGGCAGTGCACATCGCCTTCAAAGATTTATACTAGAGTTTATACTTTGATTAAATTAATATATTATATTAAAAAATATTTGACTTTTTGTTCCTCCTATACCAAACACCAATTTTATATGTAAGGACCTAATACGAGTATCTTGTCATTTTTACAACGATGTTTTATTGAATTAAGTATTAAAAAAAAATAGGCACGTTGATTTAATTAATAGAAATTAAGGGATTATTCATATTCATACCAAACGTTTTGTTGACCGCCGCGACTGTTTATGTGAAAAATGACTAAAAAATAGGTCCTTACTATTTCGATAAAGATATATTATTTTTCGGTAACTTATTTAGATGTTCAAACTCATTAGACGGTACCTACTGAACATATGCTGGTAAGTTTTTTTTTTCAGTACGTGTTGCATACTGGCTACCCCAAATCTCTGTGCACGCCACTACACACAGATAATTACGCGACTGATGCTACAGGGATTTTGTTATTTCGTTATGTAGCAGGGATCTGTAAGAATCGGCTAATCATCATCATCACCACCAGCCCTATTACGTCCCCACTGCAGGGGCTCAGGCCTTCCTTATGGATGGTTCAGGAGGATGGGCCTAACCCTCCACGCTGGCCCAATGCGGATTGAAGGGTATTAACGACTGCAAATGCAGCCGGGACCAATGGCTTAACGTGCCTTCCGAAGCACGGAGTAGCTCGAGATAATAATTTTTGGTCACCCATCCCGTGACCGACCCTTGCGAAAGTTGCTTAACTACTACGATTGCGGGCCGCGGCGCTTATCCACTACGCCACCGAGCTATCAGCTAATAAACTTAATTATTCATAAACAATGAGTACCTACATTTAAGTATTTGTGTGTGTATAGAGAGCGTGCGGGCAGCATGGAGCCTACCACCAGCCGGAACACCAGCTCTGGACCCGCGGGACGGTGTTCTGCGCTAAAAGTGCGGTTAGTCACTAATATATATATATATATATATATACAACGTGTCCCAAAATTCAACGATAAGCGGGCGCCAAGAGGTAGACCTGCTCATGTGTACTTATGGAAAAATAAGAAAAAAATTATATCTTATTAATCTTTTTTATCTATAATATATTATAAAATAAAATTCGAAAATTTTCGAAAGAGTTGTAGCGAATAGTAGTGCTACTTAGGTATCCGATACCAAAAAAAGATTGAACATAATTGATAAGTTGTGGTCGTGGTAGTTGAAAATATCATAAAAGGTGTAAATTTTCGAAGATTTTCGAATTTAATTTTATAATAAAAAAGATTTTGAATTTTCAACGATAAGCGGGCGCCAAGAGGTACCCTTGCTCATGTGTACTTATTATTTATAATAAAAAAGATTAGATATAATTTTTTTCTTATTTTTCCATAAGTACACATGAGCAGGTCTACCTCTTGGCGCCCGCTTATCGTTGAATTTTGGGACACGTTGTATATATATATATATAAAATTCTCGTGTCACAATTTTCGTTCCCGTACTCCTCCGAAATGGCTTGACCGATTCTCATGAAATTTTGTGAGCATATTGAGTAGGTCTGAGAATCGACCAACATCTATTTTCCATACCCCTTAGTGATAAGGGTTGTCCACCCTTAACATTTTTAGTCTACAATAGAAATTATTTAGAAATAAATTTATATGGCAAAACAACGTTTGCCGGGTCAGCTAGTATTATATAAATAATAAATGTACTACTCTTAATATTATATAAATGATAAGTGTAAGAACTAAAAACTACTTGTCTATATTTTCATCGAGTACTTGTAAGGTAAGGTATGTAAAGAGAAGCATGCGGGCAGAATATCGAATGCAAAATGACGAAACGCCCATTAGATTTAATGACTCCTTTAAGCTCTAATGACTGGCAAATTTGTATCAGTAATGTTGCTTTAAACTATTGATAACTTTAATGAATGTTTGTACAACTGGCTCTAAGACACTATTTCAAGTTGAAGTGCGCAACTCCGCAAATAGGGCTGACGACTGGGCAAAAAAAATGCAATTCTATTTAGTCCTTCAGTCCAGATAATAGAAAAATATTAGATACGTATTTTTTTTTTTTGAGGAGTGACTGTTCGCTGTATCACAGTTTTATAGAAAACGTACTATAACGTGACGTCATGCGAAATTTCAACTTTATGTATCGCCGTAATTTTATGATAACGAAAAAAATTAAAAATACGTGTTTAATATTTTTCAACACTACTTGACGGACAAACAAATTAAAATTAGTCGTCATCCCTATTCTACAAAATGCTTGTATTATAAAAAGAAATTGCAATTATTCAAAATATATTATAAAATTAACATTTTCTATTTTAAAACACCATTTGTTGTACCAGGAAGAAAAATATAATTGTACGAGCTGCTGCCGCACAATGTTTAGTTTTGATAAGAAATGATACGGAGAGTTCAATTGATAGAAATTATTTATTGATTTTTGACTTTTTATGCTAAATGATAAAATGATTTGATATGAGTACACACCGTGACGATCGAATGAATACTAAAAATGATGACATGAAAATGTAATACAATGAAGTAAAATGCTGAATTGCTTTTAACATACTATTGTACGGTTGTGAACCGTACACCAGGAAGAAAAATATAATAAAAAAAGTTATTTTGAAACCAGCCAAGGTATACCTATTTATAGAATTATATACATTTACCTAAATCCGTTTAAATGATCCCAGTTATCATACAACTCTTTCATCTGACATGTCTCTATAGCTTTCAAAGAAATTTGCATCTAATGCTTGCTTTGGACCATTCCAATGAACTTTAAATTAGCGATATCATTCACTCATTGAATTTCTTGTCAATAACATGTTATATACTTATGTAGCGTGAAGTTCGTGAATACCTTTCAAATATTAGGTTAAAAGGGCGTCCGTTAGATTTAAAAACAACTGACACGTTTTTAAGCTCCTCTTCTTATTAATATGCCAAGTTATATGTCTATTCAAATTTTAAGCTTAATCGTAAACCGGAGAGTAGTTTAAATTTATCTTGAGCCATATGACTCACTCTAATATGACAAATTAAATAAAAGTTTGTAATATTTAATTTACATGAGTAGAATGCATTCCGTTGCTTTCGATATGCAACTGGTAACCTATTTATTTGTCAACAGTAATATGTCGTTTCAATTAAACTATGTTATATGATATCTATGATATAAATTCTGTTATCAACTCCATGTTGTGTATATACTAGAACATATTTAACTTGGCGTTATGTTGTTGATTCGCTCTTATCGCTATAAACAAATATCGATGCATTTGATACTTCATATATATACACGTTTTTATATAAATATAGATAAGTGTCTGTGGCCTAATTGATATAATATGAATTAAAACTATTTAATTTCATATTTGAAAGACATTCGCGAACTCCACACCTACAACTATTTGCATCTGACAGCAATTAAGATCGCGACGTTTTTTTTTTTAAATATTGAATGAATGATAACGTACGTTGATTTACCGATAATCAAATTGATAGTTACAAATACCTTTTAAAATTATTGGGTAATGTCAGATGAAAGAGTAGAATACTAACTGCAATCTTTCGACAGTATAAGTATTTTTTTATTATATTTCTTATAAAGTTTTGGTAAAGATTTACTTACATTTAAAATTCAATGATGTTCATGATTATTATTCTAGAAGTAACATAACATAAGTAACGTTAAGGTAGGAAAAAAGACTAAGAACACTTGATCGCTTTTGCATTATATAACTATTTCTTATAATGTCTATTTTCTATCCACCGTAAATTTCGCGAAGGTGACTATTACACAATGTAAATAGATTCCTCCAATGTTGGGTTACCGATTCTACTTAATACTCGGTTCTAAAGTATCGATGGCAAAAGAACTTGGTCTCGAAAGAAAAGTATCAAGTAAGTACTTGTATTTATTCGTATCGATTCATCCCTAGATGAGCTGACAAAAAAAGCGCGGGATGTGTTTTATTATTACGATGCAATGGTTTTCTTTATATTTTTTTGTTGAAATAAAACTTTGAGTTTGACAAAAATATGAAATTATTTGACATTCTATTATTTTATTTATATTCTTAAAATATTTTTATTATTTAATTGAATTAGGACAAAACGAAATAAACTGTTTATGATATTGTATATCATTCAAATCATCATTCGTTCCAAAAGCGATTGTAACTTAAAAAGGTATACAATTCCATAACTTATTTTCATTTTAAATTAGACAATAAGGCTGTTAAAAATTTAATAAAAAAATCAAAAATAAAATCTAATAAATGAACAATATGAATTAAGTTATTAGTAAGTGTACGCAAAACAAATGGTAAGGTTTAAATCCATTAAATTGTTGCCGCTTTATATCGATGACTTGATGTATTGTTACAGAATAATGCATATTTCAAGCTTGTGTTAAAAATTTTAAAGATTCGATTTCTGTAGTTCAGCATTCATTAAATGACTGATATACTTTAGTAGGTTTAGTAAATGTTTTCTATATATTTTGTAGAGACATTCGGTATGAATACCCTATTTCAACATGAAAACAACTTGTCTGTCAGGTTGTTAGTGAACGGTCACCAATCGACGGTGTTCCTGGCGCACAACGTGGTGGGCTACCTGCTCATGCTCGCCGTTATGGTGTACAACGTCCACCTTCTGCTGGCTGTCGTGTTTGGCATGATGCTTGGTAGGTATATCATAATATTGGATCCTGGATACTAATAGAGCTCTGAGTGCCAAGAGAGGGAACGGGACAAATTAAAGTGACAAAGGGACAAATCAGAGTTCAATCAGATTGTCAACTTTTAGAGTAAAATATAGATGTTAGATACTCGAGGGGCGTTCAAGTATTACGTAATGCCTACGTAACTTACATGACGCTTTTCCGTATAAATGTTACGTAACACCACGTGTCAATTTTTATGTAAAAGTTTTCTTAAAATTAATAGTATTTAATCTTTACATTAGGCTTAATAAAAAAGAAACAAAAGGTATTTTTTAATTGGTTGACTGAAGGTGAACGATGGATAATATTATTTAAAATATATGACAATTTGTAGGTTATTTCCTGTTCGGGCACAAGTTGACCCGTCTTCAGATGCAGTGCTTCGGCACCGGACGCACCATCATATGCACGCCGGAGTGCGACGACACAGGTATGTACAAAACACACCACATGGCTCGTACACATTACTTACTTTGTTATACTCAACGCACTTTTTCATCTGAGTAAATATTATTAGCTTTATCATAACAGGCACGGTGTCTAATATTTTATTTTTCGGTTTGAATTGAAGTATATTATGAAGGATGATGCTTGATTTGTATTTATTTATTTCCAAAATATTAATGTATTTAAAGAACGTTCCGCTATAACCCGAATGAAACCCGATTTTTATAGTATTATGTGAAGATAGGAAAAAACACATTCCCTGCTTCCTACTCGTTTGGTTTTGTAGTAGTACCTATTTCATAAGTATTGCGGTTAGTTTCATACGCCAGTAGTGACGTTCAGGGTCCGATAATAACGTAACATAATGCCCCTAAGACCGATGCAACACGGAGAAATGCAGCTGGGAGGTGTGCGAGGGTAAACTGTGCAAGGAAATGGACGCTGTCGAACTGCAACAGGCCGACACTCCACTCTCTCCGGAGCCATATCGCCCCGACAATACAAAATAAAGTAGGGCGACATTTGATCACTGTAGTCGTAGCACTGGCTGAGTTCCGTAGCAGTGCTCGCATGCCGTAGCAGCCTCTAGCGTAGTTGTAGGACTACATACATCGCATCTAAACTTAAGCTCCCTTTAATGGCTATGTATTTCATCTACATAATATAGAAATTGGAAGCGTTTCTTCTTATTTTTTGCGTGTAGGTATGATCTCATGTTCGCAACTCGGAAGTCATCAGTTAATGGTGCCTAATCAGTAGTTATTTAATTTATTTTTTGACTTTGCTATAGTTTCTTGACAGCACATATTCACGTTTTAGGCTTATATTATACACGGTTGTATGTAAAATACCAGCAACTACACAGGAAGTAGCTCACACCATAAACAAAAGCATTTGATCTACGAAGTCAACTTTGAACAAAACATTTGCCATTTTTTTTTATTTGTTCTGTTGTCATATTTTTGTCTGTACCAGACATACAAATATCACAACAGCACAATTAAAATAATAGTAACATATTATTCGCGTTAATTATTATTCGAGGAATAAATTAAAATTTATTTTCATATGAAAGAAAAATGTAACTTATAAGAAAGACTGAAAGAACGTAAATTAAAGTTTATGTTGTAAGTAATCTAACCATGTGAGGTTGACGGTGCTTAATAAATAACTCTGTATAAGTTGCCAGATTAGTTTGTATTGTAATCGTAATTGATAGATTTAAGTTGTATGCAGTAGAGGATCCATCAAGTATATGTACTAGCTGGTAGAGGCCTGTGCCTGCCCATATTTTAGGTACCAGTGTAGTTTCCCAATAGGCTAATTTTATTTTATTTTATAAAAAAATAGTCCATTTATATCTTAGAAAAAATGTGTAATGCGTGTCAACGATTAATAGTTTCGGAGATACGGTGCTGTTTGTGAAACTGCTGCTAGTCGGCAGAAAACGCTGCCTACAAATTCAAGGCACTGAGTGACGTCATACAGTGCTACGGTAGCGAAAAATGTCTAGGCAATCTTTGTAATATCTTTGTTATCTGTTCGTTTATATTTAAAGCTGTTATAATGAAAGTAATAACGTGTTATGTAACTAATTTAATGCCATGTATATTTTAACAATCTTTGTAGTATATTTTCCCTACTCTTTTCTAGTTGTCAAAGCGTAATATCTTCCAATATAAGCGTAATATCAATGAGTAGCTCGGTGGCGTAGTGGATAAGCGCCGCGGCCCGCGATCGTAGTCGTTAAGCAACTTTCGCAAGGGTCGGTCACGGGATGGGTGACAAAAAAATTATTATCTCGAGATACTCCGTGCTTCGGAAGGCACGTTAAGCCGTTGGTCCCGGCTGCATTTGCAGTCGTTAATACCCTCCAATCCGCATTGGGCCAGCGTGGAGGGTCATGGCCCATCCTTCTTAACCATCCATAAGGAAGGCCTGAGCCCCTGCATTGGGAACGTAAAAAGGGCTGGTGATGAATATCTTCCAAATTATTGTCAAAAATTATTTTTGATATACATTTCTAAGTTGAAATGATCCTTATATACCTAACATATAATATAACAGACACAGTATTTTCACTTGTAGGACACAAGCCTATTAGATAAACACAAAAAGTACTATCGCATATCATAATTATAATAGTATTTATATCCTACAGCCGAGACCTCAACACCCCCGCTGCTCGATTCGGCCAACAGCTCCGAGTCGGACTTGTTCGTTTGTCGCACGCGTACTTGCATCCACCCGTCGCACTACTACAAAGCTTCCACTTCCACTGACGCCCCCGACTTGCCCTCGTGTCACTACGGAGCGAAACACTGTCCGTCACGCGTAGCACGTGCGAAACGCTCCAAAACTTGCTACGAGCGAGCCAACAAAGAAGACAGTCCGAGCGTAGAGGATGCTCAGCTGCTACGGACTGAGCGGCACGGATGCTGCAAGAAGAAACAGGAACCGCCCCCCGACGAAGCTATGACTAGTCACGAAGTGGAAGTGCACGAAAGTAAACTTTATTGCGAACAAGATAAGGAAAGTAAAATGAGGGAAGCGAGTCCGCAAATCTCGTGCTGTCACAACGCGAAAGCACCTTCCGAAAGTCAGGAACAAATTATACAGTAGCGTTATTGTACCTTTTTGTGGCAATGTTATGGCACGAAGCGTTTGATATGACTGAGCTTTGATTGTAGTCAGGTGTTACCTTTTTTATTTTTTATCAGGCAAAAAGGGCGATTTGATATGCTCAATTTTCTTGGCAATAATTATTTATAATGTATTTTAAAAACTGAATGCATTAGCGTTTATTATAAATAAATTATGTGTCTCAATCTATCCCTAGTCTATTTCAAAGTTGCGAACATTCAATTAATTTCACATCTTAGGTTAATAATAAATTTTAAAATATGGAAATTGTAGAATGTATAGTTTTTTACTTCAAAGATGAAAATACAAAAATACATATTATTTATATTTTACAATGGATAGTACGATACCTAATATCAATATGTGTTCAAGTTGTTAGTCAAATGTGTTAATTATATATTATGTTGAATGGAACACAATTGTTGTTAATAAATGAAACGATTCCACTTTAATTGGAAATATAAACACCATAAAGAAGAAAGTTGTTAAAGTTTATAGAATGTGATATAGTAATTTAATAGCGTGGTAGCTTTTGCAGGCTGTATTTCACTTTCTTTTATTAGGGTTCAATAACAGAAGGGAAAAACGAGACCCTGTTGCTACAACTCCGCTATCAGTCCGTCTGTCTGACGCCCGGCTGTATCTCGTGAATCATGATGGACAGTTGAAAATTTCACTGATCTACTCCTGTTAATAAAATGTATACCTCCCATCTATACAAAGATGGCTCCCATACAACAAACGTGATTTTTGCCGTTTCTGATACAGAATACTTCGTGCGCGAGTCCGACTCGCACTTGCCGGTTTTATTCTTTTAGATTATTTTATTAATTGTAATTAGATGAAGGGCATGTTTAGCCGCGCATTTATTTCTGGTGCTGTCACGCTCTGGGCAACCGTCAGCTTGAACCCCCCTTTAAATCGGGCCCCTGATTAAGTTGGTGGTTGGCGTCACTCCGCCGGGAATAAGTTTTACATGACATATCTTTTATATTACTATAGTAATAATGGTTCAGTTCTGTTGCACACTGTTGATTTCAATGCAGTACATACTATTCAACGAAAAGAAATAATCGGAGACACAATGTAATAATAATAAATGAATTTTCCGATCGAAACGAAGGCAATGTTTGTTCATTTTTGGGAATTATAAAGACACGAATTATCTAATTGTAAAATTCCTCGGATATTTTGTTTAGTACTTTTCAAAAGATCCATTGTTATGTTCTTGGATCGGTTCTTTGTCAGTTTATAATTTACTTTTTATTCAAGTTAATATAATTACGAAACTCAATTGCTTACACAAACTATTACACAAGTTCTGAGGTCTACTAGATTCATGAGAATTTTTATGCAGTATAGTGACTAGTGGTTATAGTTTGCATTTTATAAAGTGTTACAGTAATTTAAAAGTATGCAACAGAATATACGACTATAGAGTTTATGACCATAATAATAAGGTGCTAATGTAATAGACGTATCGCATTTTAGACATAGTATTCAGATTATCATAAGGAATTCCTGTAAATAAAAAAACAGAACGTATTAGATACAAAGAAAAGAATTCCGAAATGTAAAACAAATTATAGATAATAATATTAATGACATAAATAAAAAGTAGAGAAATTATATTTTATTTAAATATATTATTAGGCTTAGTGCTAGTTGCTCATTACTCAAATCGAAGTGAAATGGGTAATTAAATTATGACTCAATATGTGAAATTTTCATTGGCTCAATCAGTTTGTAAATTAATGAAACGCTGGTTCCTTCAATTTATCTAATTTTAGGGTCTTAGTTACAATAAGTCTATATAGCTACATTTTTCTGTCAAAATTAATGGGCTATCTCCTGTGATCTATTTTATTTTATTACAAAAGCCTTATTTTTAAACTGCCTTTACCTTTTTTGTGCCAAATATTTGTTATTTTTTTTTCATTATGTTGTTAGGTAAAACTCAATAAATACCATATTGGAAATGTTTAGTGTACGTGGTTTTTTTAATCCCTCATCCCATGAAGATCCTATGCAGTAACTTGTAACGCTATGAAGTCATCTTTGATGATTTCATTCTCGGATACTTTAGCCTTATAATATGGAACAGTTGTATTGTTGATCGATAATGGAACACCAAAAACGAAGACTTTGTAAAATGTTTGAAACAAAGTTTCACCAAAAATGGACATTAAAACTAATTTGTTTGTATCAATATTTTTTATTTGATCAATATAATAGTAGAACATTAAATGTATGGTATTAAAATAATGCCTTAATCTATGTCTTAAATCTATTTGTTTTGTTAAAAAAAAAATCACAATAATCAGGCGGGCGCGGCTCATCTAACAGAATTGATGTTGAGATTCAGACTAGGAGCTTACCACCTAAATTTAAACTCTAAGATATATAGTTTAAATTTAAACATTTAAATTTAAACTATTTAATTTATAAATACCTATTCATAATTTATTAAAAATACAAAATTAGTAAAAGCGTTTTTAATGAAATATTTGATAGTCTTGACACAGAGTTGCACAAACATTCATTAAAATACCCATAAGTTTAAAACGACATTATCGATACATATTTCTGGATTCAGAACATTCATTAAGAGCTTAAAGTGGTCGTTAAACTTTAATGGATGTTTAATATAATGTTTGTTTCAACATTTTAAAGATGGTAAGCTCATGGCTTTATTTATTAAAATTGTAATCTAGATATTCTTCAATATTGCACATTTTCCTAACTACTCAACGATTATTCTTACAATTGTATCAGATCAGCTCCCAAAAGTAACGATTTTTAAAGCTTTGAATTCTTTAAAGATTATGCTTATCTTTGTAACTTAAATATTGTAATGTTTTTAGGGTATAATTATTACAGTAAGTTCCAACCATTATGATGTAACCATTACGTAGAATCTTCGTTTGCGCAGAGCGGATTTACCAATTACAACAATGACCGTACGAATAGAATTTATAATAAATCTTATTGCATCAATAATAAGATGCAAAATATAACGGATTTGTGTCCGTCTCACACACGCTGTGGGGATCAGGCGATTGGTAGATCGCCCAATGGCGTGATGCTTGAACCATTCCGATTGGCTGGCATTTGTCGGGCTTCGAAATAAGGCCTGCGCGGTTACATCAGTGAGCCACGTCAGTTGCATCTTACTGTAAGGGGCTGATGGTTACAAGCCGCACCCGTGACTGCGAGGCGTCCACAAACATAATAACGAATAAAGTTAAATAAATATGGCAATAGGTGTCGCGACCTGGGGCCGGTTTTGCTAACATTAAAGTAATAATAGCTAATTTTAACCTAACAAATGTCCCTGCTACTACTGAAATGAAATGAAAATGTTTTATTCAAGTAAGCTTGTTACAAGCACTTTTGAATCGTCCAAACTGAAATCAAATAGGGTGAATGGGCTTAACTTGCCTTCTGGATCACGGAAAAGATCGAGATAATAAATCTTTGGTCATCCATCTTGTCACCTGCCTTGGCAAAAGTCACTTAACCTCAGCCTTGCAGATTAAATGAGTTTTTTTTTTAAATATGGACTTGTTCCGTTATACACGGAAATTTTGCCAACATCCCGTAGTGAGTGAGTTACTAATTTGTCAAATGAGGATATTATTGAAACTCCATCGAGACAATACTATTACATTAACATTAGCAGAATCGAGACCCTGACCGAGCGATATCAACCCTCGATACATCAACGAAGGTCAATTTGTAATAATAATATAAAACAAGAATATGAAATTTAATTAAATTAATTAAACCACTATATTTTTAATTAGATAGTTTTATAAAGAAAACTGGAATGAAACAAACGGGGTTACAACAAATTAGTGGGGAAGACCTAGTAACATCATAGTAACAATTAGCTAAACGACTCATTTCACGTAAGAACTACAATTCCTTATATCCGGATAAATAGTTAATTCCACGTCGGCACCGTACCCGTGCATGACGCGACGAGAGCGGCGTCCCCATCAATCACAGACAATCGTTCGTACAAAAATAAAATTAAAGAAATTACAACATCGCCTTATACATTATCCATTATTTTATTAACATTAAGAGTGCGATCTGTATCCAGTTCCGACCAATTTCTAAAGTATGCACTGATTTTTAAAATCTCTTAATCATCTAACATAAATAATGCACACAGTTAATGTAGAAAAATAACCTTTCTGTATTTATTTTCCTTTGAAAATACAGACTTTTTTAAGAAATTTAATGTTCTGATTGATTTTTGCAGAGACAAAATAAATAGCGGTCATAGACCCAGGAACTCAAGGTGGCCAAACTACATTTGTCAAATATAGTTCGTTATATTGCAGTGGAATCACTTGATGCGAAACATATATGTGCTTAACATTTCTAACGCTAATAACTAAGTGCAAATCTGTGTGCATCAAAACAAGACACACATAATTGTTTATAATAATTTAATAGTGTGATTTACACGTACTCATGTACAATAATAACATTCCTATCACAAACTAATATGCGAATAAGAAATAATTAGCAGACAAGTCTATAGAGACTCGCTCTCTAAATACATTCGGTGTTAATTGTATTATTGATTAAAAAAAAAACTACCTTTATTCACTGGCTTTTACAAGTGTCATGTAACTTAGATTACAATAGTAATTTATATAACGGTCCCTGGTAAAGTTTTCTCTGACAGGAAAACCGAATGTACCTATGTACCTACTCGCAAACTAAACTGCTACTTTCTAACTGCCGGTTTCAATAACTTACTATATCCGTAACTGGAGATTTAAAGTATACCTGTCTTTGTTGTTTACAATGTAAAAGACAGTGACAGATATACTGTCAAATCTCCAGTTACGGATATAGTAAGTTATTGAAACCGACCGTAAGTGAATTAACTTTTTGGTTGTCCGATTCTTGAAACAATACTCTTGTTCTCACACAGGATAAACCATGATCATTCAAATTGTCATCATTATATAATTTTTCAATACTAAAAAAAAGAAAATCTCGAGGCTTAGCACAACAAAGATGCAACGAAAACAAATTAGGATATAGAAGGGTTTCCGATCGTTAAGATATTTAAGAAACAAAAATGCATTAAGGTATATACCTAGGGGTTTCAGGCGACAGACTCGCTCCAAGGCGGTATTAGAACTGGCCCAGCAGCTCATGAATTTGACCGAGAGGTCATCGAACTCGGCAGCTGTCACTTTGGTACACGATCCGTTTCACAGCAAACAGGTCTCGTCTAAACGCAGGGATCTTAGGCCATCAACTCCCAGAATTGCAGCAGCCGCTCGCCGGACGGCGCGTTCATACCCTGCGGCCTGATGAAGTTCATCTCGATCGTTTTAAATCTCTTCTTCAGTTCTGCATCGAAGAGCTGCAAGAATATTTATGGAAATCAACTAAATTTACAATCGTACCCTTGACGTCATTTTAACGAATAAAAATAATTTTATGAAAATTAACATATATAATTTTTCAATCATTTGCAAAAAAACAGAAACAAGTTTTAAAAGGTAGCTTGATATAAAAAAGTGCAAAAATGTCTCTGAATAGGTTATGTGGATCGATTTTACGACTAATACATTTTATCTTAACCTTATAATAATGATTTTGTTGTCATTTTATTTCTAAATAAAGCACAATTAAACGTATATTTATTAATGATAAAACGCAAAAAACCTGTATATGTTATTAATACATTTCGAAATATGTACCCTAATTTTAGTGAATGTGGGCAAAAAACAGAATCCAAGTGCAAATGACTTATTTTCAAAAAGTTACAACAGAAATATGTTTTCATGAAGTCGATATATTCATCTTTATGTCATTAATAATTTTTCCGATTTTCAACTACTGTCTATTGTTTTCAATCAATCGCTTTAATAATAAATACAGGAGAGGGTTAACCATATAAGAACTACATACAAAAATAGATTAACATACTCATGTACAAAAAATAACTTATTTAGAACGCATTTGTTTCTTGTTCCTTAATTAAAAAAGTATGGAATCAAGCGAGTGCGTGTTTACACTCGACGCGTATCGGTATGTGGACGTGACCGGAGATACGAGGGGGCAGTAACGCGTGTGCGATTAGCGATGGACGTTACTCGCGATAGACAGTTATTCAACTAGTGATTTGCCTGAACTGCGACCACTCGTGATTCAGTGGTACAATAACTTTCTATTTTCCACAACGCTTTCAAGTAAACCTGTATTCACTCTTATTTAAATCACTTAAGATTGATGGCTGTGCGACTCGCTTTATTATAACCGCGATCACAGTTCACAGTGATACGTAGACGTCTTTATGAGATTAACATTTTACATTGGCGGTCATGTAATGCAATTTTAATAAACGTTTAGAATGAGACGCGTAACGTAAAGCGTTTAAATTATGTGGATCGCTAACAGTGCAACCTGTTATGTGCGAATGAAACAACATTTGCCGGCCTTTGGGGGACGAATATGATCATAGGGAGGGAAGGATTGAGGGGTAGAGGGAAGGAAATAGGGAGGAGTCGGGCCTCCGGTACCCTCACTCGCACGACAAAACACAACGCAAGCGTTGCTTCACGTCGGTTTTCTGTGAGGCCGTGGTATCATTGCCGAAGCGTGGCTCTCCCATGTTTGAATAAATATCGGCGATCGGCGACCTGATAGAGGTTACGTTACATGATTTAAAAAACGGACGAGTCATCGCTAGAGTGCATGCATACCGCGTCGTCTGCGTGCGCGGCGGGCGGGGCGGCGGCGGTGGGGGCGGCGGGGGCGGGGCGGTGCGCGTGCAGCACGTGCGCGGCGGCGCGCGCCACGTGCGGGCGGTGGTGGCGGCGCAGCGCGGACACCTCCCACAGCGAGGAGCCGAGCGCGCGCGCGCTGCGGGCGGACGTCTCCTCCATCACGTACGGGTCGCTCGACACTGCGCAACGACACATCTCGCGTTAGGGCCGCCGCCACACGGAAATATCGTGTGATGTCCAGGGTCCCGAACCATGTTACACGTTTACATGTTTGCCCCATCAAAAATGTAAATGTGTCCCGATAAAAAATGTTGGATGGTGTAAAATCGAATTACAAAATAAAAAATTATATAATAGATACATATATATGCTGTCTATCCCACGTTAGGGCCGCCAGGTGGATTGGCCGGACATCTCGTCTAATGTCCGGGGTCGCGAAAAAAAAAAGATAAATATGTCCCAAGAAAAATTGTTAGATTGTGCAAAATCGAATTCGAAGTACACGTGGCAATATAAAAAATATGATCTCATAATTTGGAAAAGTAGATGCTGGTTATTATATTAAAATTTAATTGGTAAAAAGTGACTTTGTTTATTAGTATTCCTTTTTGTCACGCCTGTGTTTCCAAAAACTCCCTTTTCATCTGGTAGCTCACAACCAGACACTTCTCACACACACTTCAGTTGTTCTCAACTAAAAATCGCAGTATCGCCTCGCTTAAGGCCGGTTTACACGAAATTGATAATTATTCTGTTGATTTTTGACATAATTTTAAAAGATAATTTTAAATACTCTTCCTCATCAAACCTGTATTCGATATTTGGTGATACATCCAGACAGGCGTCTTAATTGGAGAGAGCATTGTAAATAAAAAGAGAAAAACTCGCAAGTGATGCAAATTATCAATGGATAACCAACTACTAATCTACAAGGTTATCCAAGCTGACCACAATGGACCTATGGCATACAACTTTGGGGTACTGCCAGCAAAAATAACAAACAGCCAATGCATTCAAAGAGCCCAAAATATGATCCTCCGAAGCATTAGTGATGTTTCCTTAATATAATAATGGTCTTGAACTTATATAATAGTTTTCATTACTTTAAGCAATTTAAATTTTGTTTTATTTATTCATTGTAGATTGCCTGAAAGAAATTGCAGTAAAGCAATAAAACCGTTTTTTTTTTCTAAATTCTCTTAAGCAATATTAGTTCCTGTAAATTGTGTATTTTGAGTGCAATAAAGATATTATTATATTTTATTTATAAACTAATAGGGTTTTCTTTTGTGCTGGGTACTGTCCATTGTCTTGTCAGAATTTACACCAATATCATAAATTCAATTCGCAATAAGCCATCAAGAGTGCTACGCTGCGCCATTCATACATTCAATCATTCACTCATACATTAATTAGTATTAATGGTCTTTACAAAATATACAGTTTCTATATAATCAAGTATTATCATTTATCATATTATTTCAGTATACTCTCAACATTTGGACCTTCGAGCCGGACCGTAGTATCATAACAGGTATATGAAATAATACCTGTTACTTTTTATTTAGAATTCATTCATTAACAATATTATCAAATATAATAATCCATAAGTATTCCACTTGGCAATTAATCAATAAATATATATATAACTGTATATATATACTGACTGATGGCCGGCGTGTCTTCGTGGCAGATCATCCGCTTGAGGGGGGGGTGCCGCTGCAGCAGGTTGGCCACCAGCTGCAGCAGCGCGGCCGCGTCCGCGTCGTCCGCCACCAGCGCCAGGCGCGACAGGCGCTTGGCGAACGCGGCCACCAGGCTCTCCGGCAGGTGGCTGCAATTGGTACATTATACAACTTTCATTAACAGATTTCGGTAAGTAAATATTTGGATTGACAGCCTCACACTCGGTCACGTCTTCTGTAGTCGGTCGTTTCAAATTGATAAAGTTTGCAAGGAAACCGTATGCCTTACGAACCTATTAATCTTAGGCCGATGAGTAAGTTTTTATGGTTCACAGAAAAAGTAACACCTTCGTTCTTGATTTTAATAACGTCAACAGTAAGATTGAATACAAGAGGAAAGTTACTATGTTATTTCTGAGAAACGAATTAAACCTTCGTGGTTTTGTTATTAGAAATTATTTAAAAAAGATGCAATTTTTGAGTAACAAAGTTATTTTCACTTTCATTGGTGGTAAAAATTAAATACTCTTTGGTAAAGGGGGACGTAATGACGGAGAAATTTTCTACCAGTGAATGTTAGAGCGATTTCCGTATGAAACTGGATGTCCTACCGACAAATTTTATTAAACAGCAGCCCAACAAAAAAAAAAAAACTGTAATAAGAGTAACTACTGATATCAAATAATTTTATAAGGATATAAAACAATTTTCGATTACAATATTTTGAAATTCTACGAAATAAACTAACAATTATTCTTGAAATACCAAACTGCTTATGTTTAAAAAAAGAATTATCTAAACATTACTATGTTAGAGTAAGTAATTATTTACGTGGAACTGAGGAAGACGTCGGCCAGATGTAGCAGTCGCCGTTTGCACCTGGTGTGGAACATCTCCGGCTCGAACAGGGCGTACAGTCTGTCGTACATGTCTGGGTACGACACGTTGTGGTGACGTACTAACTCCAGCACGCCCTGCAGCGCTAGGATACTGATCGATCCACCTATATACATATCCGATGTATATTCAAAAACTGTTTGTATCATCCATATAGTCATCAAAAGAACAGCTTTTTGGGGCAAATTGCAGTCGTAAAAACCGTCAAATAGATTGATCTTAAAACTTATTTATACAATTGATTTTGAATTTTTGTGTAATCTGATAAACTTTAAAATCAGATATTAATTGACTTTTATATTTAAAAAAAAATTATCCAAGTTCATTACGTTTCTTGTGCTAGTATACTTTTTAACAAACATGTTAAATTACCATTGAACCAGATTATTCAAACAAATAAGAAAATTTCAAAGAGCATTGGCTAAATGGACAAATTCATTCATAAATAAAGAATTTAGGTTTCAAACAACTGCTTTTATAACAAGAACATTGATTTAATTTAATTTTCATTACAAATGTACAAAAATCAGTGGTGTACAAACGGAACTTAACAGTCTTCATTATAAAAATATCCAACAAATAAAAAACTTTTCCAACCCTGAATCGCCCTTCTGAAGCCACACAAGCAAAAAGTTAGTCGATAAATAATAGGGATGACGACATATTTTTGTTTGTTTGTACGTCAAGAGTTGAAAAATATTAAACACGTACTTTTTTATTTTTTCGTAATCATAAAATTACGGCGATACACGGAGTTGAAATTTCGCAAGACGTCACGTTATGGTACGTTTTCTACAAAACTGTGACATAGCGAGCCCCCACTCCTCAACATTAATGGCTGTTATCTAAGCTATTTCTCGTTAAATTGAAGTAAAAAAAAAATACGTATCTAATATTTTTCTATTATCTAAATGACGGACTAAATAGAATTGCATTTTTTTTAACAGTCATCATCCCTATACTGTTAGATTCCTGTAGATATTTTGTTGATTTTATTATTTATTGTAAATAGTTTTGGTGACAGGAGTAAAATGGGAGATCAATATTTCTCTAGCAGGCGTCATAAAAAGTAACAAATGAAGATCGTAATGTTTTTTCAATGCAATAATAAATGCAACCTCATTTAAAGTTCATTAACGGCGTTGATACGTAACGATAGTTCTTCGAAAGCACATTGTTGGTGCACAGTAACTTCTTTATTGGTATGCTCTTAGGTAAACGGGAATGGTTGAAGAAGTAAGAAATAATAGCGAAACCATCAGCATACAAATAGACTTCCTATAATAGAAGAACAATGAAAAGATCTGACATCCAGTAATATTAATAAGTACAAGTTTAATACATCGTATGTTATAGTACTCTCAGACGTTATTGAAGCTATATATTAACAGCCAATGTCATAGCTTCATCCAATATTTATGACTAAATAGAATTGCATTTTTTTTTACCCAGTCCCTCTAATGTGATGACCGCGTTCATCGATGTTACAATAAGTATGTGACATACCGGCGTCGAGGCTGTCGCACAGCATGTCGGTGGCGAGATGCGGGCGGGTGAGCAGCGGCATGAGCCGCTCCACGAGCAGCAGCAGCGCGCGGCGGTGCGTGCGCGCGTCCGAGCACAGCGCCCACTGGCACGCGAAGCTCCAGCAGCGGTTGGCGTAGCGGCGGCACACGCCCGGGTTGTACGGGAACGGGGCCTTGTCTGCACCGAGACGGACCGGCATTATGTACCGAGGCAACGCCACCAGTTAACAAGTAAATGTCCTGGGCAGAGTTGGGTTGGCTGGAGAAACAGTCAACCTTTCATGTACAATAGACCAATAAACTAGTCTAATGTGATAGAATAAATTTATATTTTTTAGGTATAACTGTTTTTATTTATATTTTGTTTAGTACTTCTACTTCCTTTATCGCCATACATCTTGCTTCCTACTTTCTGTCTGGTAGAGAATGCCCTTGGCATTAAGTCCGCCGTTTGCTATTCCATGCAATAAAGATTAAATAAATAAATAATTTACTCTTTGGCCATAATGGATGTGTCGAGGGATAAAATCAATTTAGTGAGTTGGAATCAAGGAGTTTATATATTAGAATTAAGATATAAACAATGAGTTTTTTTGAATTTTTGACTTTTTATAAATGGACAATGATGACTTGGGTGCTCGTCTAAACACAAGACCACATATATTTTTGTTATTGTCTCTTTACGTGTAAATGCCACTAGCGTGACATTGGAGCAATCATACCTAAACCTAACTAAATGAATTCCTAAAAGGCGGACCAAAAAGGAACCTCTTTCTAAAAATCTTTGAATGAAACAATGACATAAAAATTGCTCAATGAAAATAGTCATAGCCTTGAAATAGAAGATCACATCTGTTATATACAGTATCCCTTGCAGGGAAGAGAGAAAAGAACAACTGCCACAAGGCATGGTCATACATCTTTTTTCTCCTCCACTTTCTCACATGCTCACCATTTTTTATGGCTTCTGACATCACCTTTAGAAAATTACATATTCCGTTATAATTTATTATTAACACATACCATCTGATCCGCACAATATCTTCTCTTCTTTTTCATCATGGTTACGGTTTCTATTTTTGCTCTTTGCTTCAGTTGGTATTTCTGTTACCAATAATTTGTCTAGGAGTTCTAAATAATTCTGCATAAATATTGGGGATGGTGATCTGTGAAATTTATAATATTATTATATTATATACAATATTAACTTTTAATGCAGCAAGTATCACAAAAAATTTCAATATGTGTCACTGCAAGATTGTGTTCAGATGTTTGTGGATTTTTGTAACTCAAACTGTTTTAAATTACTAACAGTAATTTTTGTTTAATCCTGTAGACAGAGTGGATTTCTGAGATGATACAATAGGGGCAGATACCATAACCAGTATAGTTATATGAAAAAACTAGTTTCTAGGAAACCATCAAAAACTTTTAAAAAATATACAGTTAGCAAAAATGCCGAATTAAAAAAATTAAATGCTATTTCATGTCAGGATCAAAACACTTTATGCCCTTTAATGAACAAGATCGATCTCAAAAATCCACTCTGCATATTTCACATACTTTATGATTAACAACCTCTATAATTTACAATTATAAATGTTATGGACTTACTTTCGATAAGCTAATGATGAAAGGACTTTTAATCCATATTGTTGTACATCTCTATACTCTGTAAACTCTTGGAAACGGGCAATGGGAGCAGACATTGATTGCTCAGAGTCCAATAAAACTGTGAATATGTTCTGGAAATAAAATTACCTCATTATAAAACAAAGTAATATGTACTTTAATCTGACACTTCTTTGCAATTGGAAGTAAAGTATACATACAGTTCATTGTTATAGATATTTATCAAAATAAAAATATAATTGACATTATTTATATAATTAAAAAAAGAATAGTTTTAATCATATTACCTTTAGTCTGCCTGATGGGAAATAGAAACCAGTAGAACTCTCCAATGGATTCTTGCCCTCTGCCTGTAGCAGTTTGCTGACTGTCACTAAGGCTTGTAAACGGGAATTCATACGGCCTCTCTTGATGCACTCCAGTGCCTGGTTCAGAGCTGTCTCGTAGCATTCTCGGAGCCATCTTGTATATTCTGCTTCTGGGCTTTGCTCTAGTAAAAATAACATTATTTTCGTTTTCAAAAATAAAACAAGTTAAAAAGCATGATTGCCATAAAGAGGTTTTAAAAAATTTACTTAAATTGGGTTGGTAGATCACACACACAAACTAAAAATAAAATTCTCATTGTTGTCATTGGACCATTCTGTGGAAAATTGAGTGGCACTTGTTAAAAGTAGTGTGGCAATGGGAATTTTATTTAGTCATCTTACTTAGTGTGTAGTGTGTGATTTACAATTTATTATCATTAATTGTGACATGCAACAATTTTCACAAACTAACAATAATATGTATGTCTAACAAACTACAAAAACAACAATAACCCCATCCACATGTGACCTTGAAACAGTTGCTAAGAGAACCAACAATTTGGTGCAAAAATACTTTGAACAAGTTTCACTCAATTTCACAAGTCAATGCAAAAATTAAGTTTGAAGTACTGAATCTAAAAGAGGAATGTCGTCGAAATGGTGATAAAAGCAATTACACAAGAGTTTTGTTGGGCTGTGGCTGATGCCGTGTTTTATATAAGCAAAGAACGTCACATGTCGCAAAATGTGATCACTCACTGTTTGAATCAAACTTTCAATTAGAACAAAAACTTATAATCACACCAGTTGATGTACTAATAACTGATGAGTTTTAGTAAAAATCAATAATGCAATTGCAAAATACACAGTTTTTTTTGTTACATACCGCTATTTTATAGCACTTACCAATAGGTTTCAATGGAACGATTTCCTCAATCAAATCTCCTCTTCGCAATAGTTCGGTAAATATCACTTCAATTGTAAGTAGGAGTGGCGTGTAATTATCCGTTGATGCCTACATATCGAGAGAAAAGATTATAATTAAAAACGTAACCTGTGACGCAGTTATAATACAAATACATTACTTTGACGATGTAAGCGCTTACCTCAAACATTTGCAAGATATCAGCCAAATTATTAGCATGTTTTCTAGAATTTAAAAACTCGTTTGCTTTATTGCGTAGCTGCGCTGAAACCATTTTTATTAAATTTGGGTGAACGGCAGCCATTTTTGTACTGAAAAGAAAAAGATGAGAAAAATATATCGTTGTTTACTTTATCAGGCAAAAGAATAAGAATCGTGCTCATACAGCCACAATTTTTTTTTGTAAATTAAAAGTTACAGTTTTTATGCAGAGAACTACATAAACTTATCAAAAATGGTTCAACGCATTATAATATACTCATGGATCGTTTTATATGATAAAACAATATAGTATCCAAGCTAGCTTACAAGTGACAAAGATGGTCTATTTTAATTATGCACTTCTGATTTTTACCTGTAATTTTTACGAAATAAAAGTTAAAAAAAGCGTGTGCGAACTCACGAGCAGTTTCAACTGATGACTTTTGAACTAATGTTAATAAAATTGATTTTACCATTTACTGTCTCAATAGCAAGTAATTTATTTCTGACGCTGCTCATACGAGTTGAATCAAACTTAATTAGCACTAACAATTCTAAGTATAATTGGCAAAAACTTCAAGTGTCGAAAAGCTTCAAGATTGCTTAACTGGAGTAGATTACAATATCGGCATTTTGACATGATAATTAGATATTTGATTTCGATTGATTTGCTGTGCTACATAGATTGAGCAATACGCCTTTGCGATCACATTAGCATGATGCCAAACAAAGTTTATTTGTGTTACTTATGGTGAGATTACTATGTTCTCCAATCTGATCAATCCAAATTGCTCAGTTACGATTAATAGGGCCGATTTTACCAGTTGCTGATAAAGTCCCTGATAGTCTATTAGGAACTTATCTGCCAGATAAACTACAACTTAGAGTTTGTTTATATTATATCGTATATTTTTCTTTTTGGTCATACTGATGACAAGGCAGCAGCTGTATAGCTTAGTTCCTTCGCCTGTCCCATGGGCGAAAAACTACTACTAGATATACTTCCCACATTATTTTTCTCTTTGCTATACTATTAAAAAAAGTGGTGGTTTGCAAAGACTACCGTGAATAATAGGGAGAGTGGTTTGTGATGTTTTGTTTGGTTTGTTAATTGAAATTTAATATTTGTTTTTGAATATTAACCTAAGATGGACGGAGATCTTTACGATGAATTTGGAAATTACATCGGTCCTGATTTGGAGTCGGACTCTGATGATGAACAAAGTGTATACGGGCAGGATAACAGAGATGCCGATGAGGATGCCATGGAAGAAGACGAAGATGTTGATGCCGAGCCTGAAGTGGCTCCCATGTCGGTTGTACTGCATGAGGACAAACGGTAAATACTTGTTTTCAATAAATGGCATTTAATTTATTCAACAGTTTCTATAACATTTGTTGTTAATATTGGAGGTTAAGCCGGGATTCAAGTATGTATTCCTAATAAATAACTTATTCTGGTAAAAAACCGGATCTCTTAATGGACGTATTAAACTCAAACCATTGGTTGATAAAGTTTAAAGTTAATGTATATTAAGATTCTAATGAATGCAAGCACAGTACTATAATAGAATTTTACATTTTCAGATATTACCCTCAAGCAGTAGAAGTGTATGGTCCAGATGTAGAGACAGTGGTGCAAGAAGAAGATACACAGGCATTAGATAAACCGCTGGTAGAACCAGTTAAACACAAAAAGTTTCAGGTTCAAGAGCAGCAGCTCCCGGAGACAGTCTACGACATGGAGTACCTAGCTGACATGTTGGACAACACAAATTTAATGAGGAATATCACACTGATGGGGCATTTACATAATGGTGGGTTATAAATGAACAAATTAATTGATACTATCTAAATCCTTAATATTTAGGTCTATCTTCCACATTTGTTTTTCTATGTGGTGTACAAGTTTTCAATTATTCATTCTGTCTTATTTCTTCAGTCTTATCTCTAACTTAAGTCTGACTAATGCATGCCATGCCAAACTATAGCCATTTTCACTCTTGCTTCAGGTAGCTTGCAATAAGTGAGAGAATGGGCTTGTGTCCAAGTGAAATTACAGGTTTTTGTTATATGTTTGGAAAATATGGATCCGTTTTGACTCAAAAATATTTAACAAAATTAATTTTATGACACTCATTTGGAAAATATGACGATTTAAAATTTGGAAAAAGTAGGGAAAATATATTACCAATATTTGCTAAAATACATAATTTAAATTAATTACATACAATGTAAATAACATAAATCCACAAATAACAAATATATTACAAAGATTGCCCAGACGCCCATATGTTTTTCAGTACCGTAGCACTATGTGACATCACATAGTGCCTTGAATTTGTAGGGAGCGTTTTAGGCCGACTAGCAGCAGTTCCACAAACAAAGCAATGTATCTCCGATTTTATTAATCACAGACATGCTGTTTTGTGTGCATTAATGGACTATTTATTTATAAAATAAAAGTTATCGACTAGCCTATTTTGAAAATAGATCCCATATTTTCAGAGCCTATATTAAAATAAACAAATCTTTGCTTTTTATAATATAAGTATCAATTAAAAGTCGAGTAGACATGCTTTGAAGTTTGCAGCAGAGCCTTGAATCTCTTATCTTGTTATATTTTTCAGGCAAAACATCATTTGTTGATTGTCTGCTTAGGCAAACACATCCCAGCACAATCAACAATGACACAACCATTCCGATGCGTTATACAGACACATTATTTGTGGAGCAAGAACGTGGTGTGTCAATAAAATCTATGCCTGTCACTTTACTCCTGAAGACGATCAAAGGCAAATCTCATTTGCTCAATATCATGGACACACCAGGTCATGTTAATTTCAGTGACGAGGTCACAGCAGCACTCAGGATATCAGATGGTAAGTTGTGTCTATTAATTATATTCTGTGAACCATAATAAGGTTAAGAAATTTTCATAGAAACATTCTATTGTAATTGTAACCAATAAATACATATTGAAAGCAATATTGTAAAACATATTTACATACAATCCACAGGTGCAATCCTCTTTGTGGATGCTGCTGAAGGCATAATGCTGAACACAGAAAGGCTATTACGACATGCAGTTCAAGAACGAGTTCCGTTGACCTTATGCATAAACAAGATAGACCGTTTAATACTAGAGTTAAAACTACCACCTGCAGATGCTTACTACAAGTTACGGCATATCATAGACGAACTCAACTCTATGTTAGAGACTCATCAACCACAAGATAACCCAGACGAACCTGCCACTGTGTTTTCTCCATTATTGGGTATGAACATTTTTCTTATTTATCTTGTGTAAGGAGAATCCACTTATTATATTTGTGTGAATCACTTGATTACGGAGTTCACCTAATTCATTCAGTGTAAGACCATACCTAGGTATGATATGATTAGAGCTTTTTAAATGTATGTTGCCCACTAAAACACATTGTATTAAGTATATTGGCAACAGAAATTGGGATATTGACAGTGGCCTCCCAATTGATATACAATTGTATACCGTTAGAAACAATATTGAAATTAGATTAAACTGTCAATGAGCTTTTTTGATTAGACATGTGATTCAATTGACGAAAATACTTTTATATTTTCTAATATTGTAATGGAAAGTGACTCCATATTTTAATGAAGTCATTTTTTAATCTTGACGCTCTGTATGAAATAAAACAGGGAAAAAAAGCAGCCCTTGCCGAGTTTCTTGATGGTTCTTCTTGGTACAAGGTTCTCCGCCGTAGATTTACGAACCGATGGCGTAACTCTCGACTTTCACAAGCGCTTGTAATGGTTTAGACTCAATAAATTATTTTGATTTGATTCGAACACATCACTTCTTTACTAAAAAATACCAATGAAGATAATATTTGATAATTTTACTTTCTTAACTTGAATTGAATTGGCAAACCTATATATTTGGAAAACATCTTTTAAATACTCGTCTATTTTCGTACGTACAGGTAACGTGTGTTTCGCGTCGTCGTTATACGACGTATGTTTCACGTTGGAGTCATTCGCTGCCATGTACGCGTCCACGTACCCGTCGTCGGGTCTGCGTCCGGGTGACATGGCGGCGTGGTTGTGGGGCGACGTGTATTTCAACGCGAAAACACGTCGCTTCACCAAGAAACAACCGCATGCGTCCGCTCAGAGGAGCTTCGTAGAGTTTATTCTGGAACCTCTTTATAAGATCTTCGCGCAGGTATGTTAAGCTATTATTAAGACTAGTATCGGTTTTACTTACGAACTCATTCATGTCATTGTAATGCTCACGAAACTCGACTTCGTTAATAATTTTAGTTGTAGCATATTAAAATGTTTATCTATAATATAATTAAAAGTATCATTGTATAGAAGCTTGAAAATCGTTTAACACCTGACTGTCTATCGTTCATTGGTTATCCTATAAGTTTGCATCTAAGACTTTCCGTTTTATCAGTGGTGAAACCTTGGAGGTATCTAATCAATTTTGTTATATTTAAGTGAACCTAAAATGTTTACAATCTTTATCATTATCTGTACCAGGGTTGTTGCAAATATCAGCATCAGCATCCGCTGATTAGCAGCATTGTTTTAGTATCAGCATCAGTAAAAATCGATGCTGACTTTAATGCTGATATTCAAGTCGTAACGCGTCCGAAGGCAAGACCGAGCCCCACTGACGTGCTGTTATAAATAATTCGTACATATGTTAAAAGCGAAATTTGGTGATGATTCAGGTGGTGGGTGACGTGGACGATACACTAGAGGATGTGTTGTCAGAGCTGGGTATCAAACTCAGCAAGCAGGAGGCGAAGCTCAACGTTCGCCCGCTGCTCAGGCTCGTCTGTAGCAGATTCTTTGGAGATTTTGCGTGAGTTAACTCTTAATATACGACAAATTAAATTACTTTTGTTTATAATATTAAAGTTTCTTTTTAAGATTGTATATAGTCTTAATAGAAAAATATTTTAAAAAGAACATGTTACTGCAACTTCCTATCGTCACTCTCACTATCAAATACGCTTCTACCAACACATCTGTTCATAAGTCTATCGACTGATAGCGTGATCAACGAAGTAAAAGGACTAATGATCAGTCCTTTTACTTCGCCACTGCTGGATCTCAGGTCTTCCTTATGGACGGTTAAAGAGGACCATGACCCGCTGGCCCAATGTAGATCGGAGAGTATTAACCACTGCAAATGCAGCTGAGACCAACCACTTAACGTGCCTTAGCACGGAGTAGCTCTACTAAATTTTTGGTCACCCATTTCGTGACCGGCCTTGCGAAAGTTGCTTAGCAACAACTATCGCGGGCTGCGGTGCTTATCCACTACGTCACAAAGTTATTCCGGAAAATGTGTAAAACAAGTTTATTAGAAAGGAGGTTATTCTAAAGAGATGAAGTGAGAGTTTCCCCCGTCGACAGTGGTTTCGTGGACATGGTGGTGAAGCACGTGCCGTCCCCGCTGGACGCCGCGTCGCGTAAGGTGTCGCACACGTACCGCGGCACTGCGGGGGAGCTGCGCGACGACATGCTCAAGTGCGACCAATCCGGCAGGCTGGTCGCACACACCGCCAAGATGTATCCCACAGATGACTGCACGTTCTTCCTGGTGAGTATACACTGCGATGACTATTGTTCTATCTGTTACGACTAAGGTTTCGGGATAAAAAGTAACGTCAAATATAGTTTGCTATCCGACTTTATTTATCATAATAAAATTACAAAAATACTCCAACTACAAAATTCATACTTTAGTACATTGTAGTATAACCAATACTCATTGTATCGACTATACTATAAGTGCATTGTTACTGCGCATTCGATTTTGATCACTATGACGTCGTATTTAGGTGCTGGCTCGTATAATGTCGGGTACGTTGTATGCGGGGCAGACTGTGAGGGTGCTAGGCGAAAACTATAGTACACACGACGAGGAAGACTCGCGTATTATGAACGTGGGCAGGCTCTGGATATACGAGGCGCGGTACAAGGTAAGATTTGTTGATGGTAAGAAATTTTCATAGTTCCAATGCTAATTACATGCTATGTGGCTAGAATGACGTTTGTGCAAAGTACAACATGCAAAATGTAATTTACATTATGATCTTAATAATAAATTTTATAACCAAAACTAAGATGAGATAAAAAATATCATGATACAAAAATCTGTTAAAATGACAACTAACATTGGCCTATATGAACGTCAGGTTTATACGATCTGAAAATGAAACTTACGTGTGTTTTATATGAAGTTCGGCTCCAGGATCGCATAGTCCTGTGATTCTGTAAAAAAACAAACCCGAATTCGAATTCCGTCATGTGTCCGAATTCACGTCATTTAATGTAGAAATTCTATTGATTCCATTTTTTTTGTATAAAAATACTTCACTTATAAAAATACTGCCACGAAAACTTATCACCAATTCAGGATTGAGCGGATGCCGCTTTTTAAGTGAATTTGGACTCCTGAGTGAATTCAAATTCGGGTTTGAATTTTTACAGAATCGCAGGGCTAATAAGTAAAACCAAACGCGGGAAACGATTGTGTGCGATCAGTCTTATAGACCCTGTCCAGAACTACCCGCAAATTAGACGCGTCTCGTTAAACGTTACTCTTTGGCAAGGAATAGTGTTACCATGAATAAACGTTTGCAGCGTTCCTTCGGCACAAGATCCAAGGTGTATGTTATGTTATTTAACGCCAATGTACTCACATTTCGACGACCGCCGGCGATTCTCTGTCTGTCTCAGGTCTGGGAATAATGGTTAGTATAGTAGTAATCGATAGGTAATAGTTAGGGCTTTAGAAACGAGATTTATTATATTTTCCATATGTGGTCCAAAAGTTAGTTTTTTTTATCAAATATTACTCCCAAATCCCGCACCTTCCCCCTTACTTTCGAACGCAATCGCGACCGATCGAAATTGCAATTGTGCAACTCCGCACTTTTGATTGGTTCACCAGCATACTCTGGCGCTAGTGAAGCTGGTCCATTTCCCTGATTGTACATAGTTGTGCCTATATGGTATTGATATGAGATGGGATTTTCGTGTATAATTCAAATAGAAGCATTTGTCGGAGTTAAGATCCATCCCATTAAGCTTACACCATCTAACCAGTTTATCAAGGTCACTCTGAAATTCTTGTTGCATTAAAGTAAAAAATATATGCTTAGACACATTTTTCTATTATCTGACTGAGAAGAATAGGACTTTTTGTTTTTTATCCAGTCGCCTTCCATATTTGCATGTTTGCCATGTTATATTATCTCTTCGTTACTGCAGGTGGAATTGAACCGCGTCCCGGCCGGCTGTTGGGCACTGATAGAGGGCGTGGACCAGCCCATAGTGAAGACCTGCACCATCGTGTCGGCCGACGAGGAGGTGGAGTTGCACACGTTCAGGCCGCTCCGGTTCAACACGCAGGCGGTCGTGAAGATTGCCGTCGAGCCAGTCAACCCATCCGAGCTACCCAAGATGTTGGACGGGTTGAGGAAGGTGCAGCGAATCAATCATCATCGTCAGCCCTTTTACGTCCCCACTGCAAGGGTCTTCCTTATGGATGGTTAAGGAGGATGGACTATGTTATTCCACTCTAGCCCAGTGTGCATTGTAGGATATTAACGACTGCAAATACAGCCGGGGCCAACGGCTTTTTTGATCACCCATCCCGTGACCCACCTTTGTGAAAGTTGCTTAACAATCAAATACGCCACCGAGCTATTCGAATGATTGCTCTTTAAAGAATATTCGTATTTATTAATTTGTTAGTTGTAAATTTTACTGATTTGATCTTATAAATCTTTAGAAATATTGAATCTCTAAAAATAACAGTTTGCGTATTTAATACATTGTTGAATTATTCGCAGTGGCTTAACTATACCGTTCCCGGCAAAATCGGAGTCTCTTCCCCCCCCCCCTTTTTTTTTCTAAAACTCGGGTACAACTTTTTTTTATTAATGCATTGAAATTTTAATACATTTGGTGTATCAAACGAAGTAGGTGACTTAAATAAATAAAAGACAAAATATTTTTTTAAGACGTGTAATAATAAATGTTAGGATTCTCTTCTGACGAGGGCCCCTTCCTATTGAAGGTCCGTGACATTTTGTCGATCACTAATTATACGTATTTGTCGAATAGTCGAAATGATATTTCTTTATTTGTATTACTGAAAGTGTTTATGGGATTATTAATGAAAAAATGGCACACACAAAAAAAAAATACTTAAGAACATTTACTAAAGCTACATTTTTAGACATGCAGTTATCAACTAATGTAAATTAGTTATTAGCTATACTGTTTGATCGGGACCGTGTATGTTATATTGTCTAATGTTAATGAATGAATGTATGTGGTCAGGTGAACAAGTCCTATCCGCTGCTATCGACGCGAGTAGAGGAGAGTGGGGAGCACGTGATACTGGGCACCGGGGAACTGTATCTGGACTGTGTGATGCATGACCTAAGGAATATGTACTCGGAGATAGACATCAAAGGTAACACCGTTCTATTAATGCAGCAGTTTTGCTTAAGTATATAGGAGTATAAGTGATCTATAATTATTTGTGCTTTCGATTTTAAAAAAAGTATTGTGTCACCTGCGAATGATTACATAACTTTTAAAATTTTAATTTCAACTTTTAAACATTTTTCACTTACCACTCGTTCAGGACGCTTATCGAGTATCGAATTTGGAGTTGATGTTGCATCTAGTTTAGTACATTTACTAAATATTATTGAATAATATATTAAATATTTGCGAAATCTTGTCAGTTGTAATGGAATGTTTCTCATGTGCTTTGTCTCGCTCTATTATTAGCTCGATGAAATAGCTCGTCCTTGTCAGTATGGTTTCTCAGTCAACTGCGAAAAAATCCGTTACTCAGACGCAGATGTTTTGCATTCAGGGTTGCCACCCGTCCTGATTCGATGAATATCTGAATGTCACGAATTTTGTTTCCAAAAGGTGACCCTTGAGGCGACAACCCAACCCCAACCGTTATTACGACTATCCGAATGTCACTAATTTTGTTATCAAAAGGTGACAACTCAACCCCAACCGTTAGTATGGACTATCCGAATGTCTCGAATTTCGTTTTCAAAAAGTGACAACCCTTGAGGTGGCAACCCAACCCCAACTATTAATAAAAATAACTGGTACTTGATCAGTGGCGGACCCGGTGGTATCGTTCTGCGAGACTGTGGTGGAGACGTCGTCGCTGAAGTGTTTCGCGGAGACGCCCAACAAGCGTAACAAGCTGACCATGATAGCCGAGCCGCTGGAGCGCGGCCTCGCGGAGGACATCGAGGCGGGCGCCGTCTGCGTCACGTGGGACAGGAAGAGGCTCGGGGAGTTCTTCCAGACCAAGTCAGACATTTTTTATTTTTTATATTTTAATCTCAGGGGAATGCTTTATGCACTGTCCCCGCTGCTTGACAGGTGGCGGAGGGTGTGTGGAGGTAGATAATAGTTCTTTCTTTTTATATGAATCAATTTTATTTATTCATAGCAAACCAATACAGGGTGTAGACAGTATACGAAATTAATATTTTTTTGCTGGGAGTGTTTAATATACTTTTACCGATAATCACACTTTTATAATTATTATATTTATAATATTGTTTAAATTAATTATGAAAAAACGAATATTATATACTCGTGTTCACGTGCCCGCAAACAGCGCGTGACGTCACACCCCTCTAACTCATAACATAGCAAAATATAGAAAATTCAACCTTATGCATACATAGAACGATATTAGTTTCAGAAGGCCGTAACGTCATAGCGACGCCATGACGGAAGTGGCGTATTCGCGGGAAATTTTGATATTTTTTTAAAATTTTCACTAATTATATGAATGATACTTTTTTTTTTCTTTTTCAGATATATTTCATGTATATCTTTATTGTATTCATGTATATATATACATATATGTATATTTTTATTTTAAAGTAAAAATATATTTAAAACGTTGTCTACACCCTTATTATTGCATTAGACATTACACCATTAATTACAAAATTCATGAACCTCATAATAATATAAAAGTAATGATTACAACAATTCATTAAAAAATAATAAAATATATAAAGCCCATTGCATGGTAACATGCACTATGCTTAAAAACTTCCGATGCAAACAAAAGAGTATTACATCTCGTAATACCTTTTCACCCCGTAGTTATCCTTTTCACTATCGGCGTCATTCATTTATCACGCAAAACGATTTTAACCATTTAGCTAACAGGAACAAAGTATGTAATTTTTTTTTATGTTTTTAGAATTTTTTTTGGGACCGCTTGTGCCGCAGGCACACATAATATTTCATTATATACGCGTGTTCATACTTAAAAAATTTTATGATGTCACGTAATCACTTTCATCACTTCCAGGGGGGAGGTAAAAGAAAAAATGAGACATTATCAATTTACCTCATAGTGGCGTTGCGTGCCTTGGAGGTAAAATAAAATTGGGTGAAAATTTTTGCTTACACACGTTAGGTGTCATTGGTACGGACGGGTGATACGGCAGGTAGCTATGCGTCTGCTACCTTACCTCCCCTCGCCCCCTTAATCGTCTTACGTAATAAAAAGCATGATCGAGGAACAGAAAGAATTTCGTACCTTGAACGTTGTGCCTGCCGATAGATATATAAACATTTTAGGTTCACTTTTACTATGACAACAAAATTCGCTAGATGCATTTGTGCGAGCGCGATAGCGATATGTTAGCGCACGAGTGAAAGAGATATTTAATTCCGGGTCATCGTACTAAATTCTTTCTGTTCGGCGACCGTGATATAAGTGTATTATAAATACTTAGAATGTTACGTACACGTTTACATTAGATACGACTGGGACTTGTTGGCGGCTCGGTCCATCTGGGCGTTTGGTCCGGACGCGACTGGTCCCAACATCCTGGTGGACGACACGCTCCCCTCCGAGGTGGACAAACACCTGCTCGCCTCCGTCAAGGACAGCATTGTACAAGGTCCAACATATCTTCATATTATATTCAAGCTTATAACAAAAATCAATTAATACAAAATTTGGATGAGTTTGTGTTTGTTAGTGAACAGTAAGTCAGGTTATACGAATCTGTTGAATTTCTCCACTTTATTTTAAACCTTAATTTCTTGATGATAATAGCGCCATTCGCATCCGAGTGCTCGACCTTCGTGTGTAAAGAAAGCGATTTTAATTCGATTTCAATTTTAATTCTTTATTGCACTCCATAATGTATAACAAAGGTGTTACAAAGAGGAAATGTACCATCATGGACCCCGTCGGGCACGGCAATTAGGAGAGTAGAGGACGCATTTTTATAAGAAAAACATAATTATATAATCTACGTTCATATGTAATTGAATTCTAAAATCCCAAATATAGGTTGATACTATGTTTAAATATTAATTGTTTTTATTATCTTTTTCATATTTAAATTATTGATATTGTTTATTTAGTTAATTAAATGTACCTGTTAAATATTCATTAATTGTATAGTAATGTTTTGTCACTAACAAATTCTTAACTTGTTTTATGAAACTTTTATCTTGGGTTATACTTTTAATTGCACTTGGAAGTTTGTTAAATATTCTTGTGGACATGACTAGTGGGCCGGAGTGGTATATCTGCAAACGTGAAGCCGGCAATATGAGTTTCTTATGATCTCGCAGAGTGTATCTGGAAGTTAATTCCTCTCGCCTATTAAAAAATTCTGGATATTTTTTTACAAATTTACAAATTTCTAAAATATATATACCTGGTAAGGGTCTATCTATACATTTAAGTAAGATTTTTTTTCACTTCAAATTTTAACAAATAAGCTGTTTCGCTCGAAGTGATCTTTTCTTTCGTGTAGGGTTCCAATGGGGTACGCGGGAGGGTCCACTGTGTGAGGAACCTATACGCAACGTCAAGTTCAAGATCCTCGACGCTGTTATAGCGCAAGAACCTTTGTACCGCGGCGGTGGACAGATCATACCAACAGCCAGACGGGTAAGTTGATAACCATCCAATGTACGATAACTAGAGTTGTTCACTGCGCAATCGTAACCGAACCGAACGGATATCCGAAATAAAAATCTATCCGTTACCGAAAAGATAGATACAGATGGAAGCTGTATTGTTTCTGCCCAGATGAAACGTCACAAAACTATCTAAACGGAAATGACATTTTTTTAAAACAAAGCTAAAAGTAATAATTAAATTAGAGATATTAGATATATTTATTTTTAGTGAAATTAGATTTACTCAATGTGAACTTATAATGGCAAATGCTATTATGGTTAACTATAACAACAAAACTTAACAATAACAATCGGAAACAAAAAAAATCGTGTGTGATCTCAATACAACCTAATTCAATAAGAGTACTCGTCAGCTAGTGTTTATTTAACTGATTTCTGAACGCATTACACCACCAAAATGACGCCCAGGCGCATTAGCAATTAGCGGGGATTATATCTTAGCTTTTTTTATTATTATTTGGTATTCATAATTGTATATGCAACCGGTAAACGCAATATCAAGTGTCTACCTCGGTTGGAAAAACTTGCCGCATCGGGCCTCTCTCATGTCTTATTTATTAAAATTATAATTATATGTGTATGTATATATATTTATATCAAACTAGATTATACATAGCCGTCCTTGCATCCGCGTGACGGATTCAAACGTGGTCCAGCTGAAAACCAGGTCTCATTATACTTTCAAGAAGTAAAAGAGATAGACATATGATGAGCAGGACACCTTTTTGGTGCAACTGTGGGACACGCATCGCTTTATTACGTGCTCAGATGTTGTTAATTTCTATCTTTTATGTTTTCTGTTAATTTTAATACTTTATTAATTGTCTGTAAGTGTCCTATGTATGTGTTCCAAATAAATGAATTTGATTTGATGTTCAGCGGAACAGACGACATATAGTTGTATTTGTCGATGTTCAGGTGGCGTACTCCGCGTTCCTGATGGCGACGCCGCGCCTGATGGAGCCGTACCTGTTCGTGGAGGTGCAGGCGCCCGCCGACTGCGTGTCCGCCGTCTACACGGTGCTGGCCAAGAGACGAGGCAAGTGTCCACCTGGCACAGGACCAGGGTCCGCTTGATAAATATTAATTGATATTTATAATATAATAATCAACCCGAAGCGACACTGGCTACATTGACCCGTTACTGGAGATACACGCACGTATACTACTTTTTAATTATTCTATAATAAATCTATACTAATATTATAAAGCTGAAGAGTTTGTTTGTTTGTTTGAACGCGCTTATCTCAGGAACTACTGGTTCGAATTGAAAAAATATTTTTGAATGGACCATTTATCGAGGAAGGCTTTAGGCTATATAACATCACGCTACAACTATTAGGAGTGAAGAAATAATGGAAAGCGCGGACGAAGTCGCTGGCGGCCACTAGTGAGCTAATATTAAATAACTTAAACTCAATCTTTATTTTTCTTAAAATATTAAATAAAGCCACTAGCAGCTCAAAAATCGCAGCTTTTCATATCCGTTATATATTAGATAAATAACAAATATTGGAGATTTTGATATTTATTATAAATACCGAATTCTTACGAACCCTGAACTCGGCATCGGCCTATTCCCGTTTCTGCAGCTGGGGCATAGAAAATACCGCCCTCCCGAGGCTAAACTACAGTAACAGCAAAATTTTTGTTTTTGAGTTTTTCATAAAGCCTCATTCAAACCTTACACGCCTAACTTATGCATTTTTTTCTACGACCAGCAATAGCATTTTTTGTTTATTTCTTTTAAAATCAAGACGCTAAAGAAAAATGTCCAGTCTCCATACAAGCTTAAAATTAATATAAATTGTATTCATAAAAAAAAGCATTAATAGTTAGTTTCTTTTCTCTACTAACTTCGCTTATGTTTTCACCCTGAGGAATATTTTGCCTTAAAATTAAATCATTTTTTTAAATTTCATTTTGACTTAATAAGATAATCATGCGATTATACGACTCAAAATTAAAATCTCTATATTTATTATAATGTAATTTTAGTTTTGTACAATTTCTTGAGTCAATTATCGTTATTGAAATAGAGTTCTTAACAGTACTTTTGAATCGTGCAACATTTTTTTCCCCACCACTCGTTCAGGACGTCTTTTGGCTGATAAGAAGAATGAGTAAGAAACTCACCAGCTCTAATAGGATTAATGACATTCACAAAAACCATGTTTAAGGCTTATTTTTCACTACCGCAACTACCCCATTTTTCAATTCGAACCAGTACTTCCTGCAATTAGCGCGTTCAATCGAACTTTTGAGCTTTATAATATCGGTATAGATCGGTCCGGTGACGTGCAACATGTGTGACGTGTCGTGTACAGGTCACGTGACGCAGGACGCGCCGGTGCCGGGCTCGCCGCTGTACACGATCAAGGCGTTCGTGCCCGCGATCGACTCGTTCGGGTTCGAGACGGACCTGCGCACGCACACGCAGGGGCAGGCCTTCTGCCTGCAGGTGTTCCACCACTGGCAGATCGTGCCCGGCGACCCGCTCGACAAGAACATACTCATACGGTCAGTACACATTATATATTGCGTGGTAAAGTTACTTTCAGCAGCATTTCTAATGAATATATATACATTAAATTGTGTAAAATACTTTAAATAAAGTTTCATGCCCTATTTTATCCCCTTAGGGGTGGTATTTATCAAAATTATTTCTTAGGGGATGCCTAAGTCATAGTAACATTCACCTAAATGCTAAATTACAGCCCGATGCGTCTAGTGGTTTGGACTGTGCGTTGATAGATCACTATGTCAGTCAGTCACCTTTGAGTTATACTATATATTTAGATAAGGAGGATGAGGGGGAGTATGGTATTGCCATAGTTTATACAGAGAAGAATTGCACAATGCTATTATTTCTTTATAATATTGGGAATAAAATACATTACATAAAAAAAGCTTTATGGACGATTTTTCGTTTATTGGTGCCCACTTGTTCTGTATTGTAACATCATTATTGTCAGTAATTAAGTATGTATTGCTATTATTAACACTTAAAACATCTATTAAACAACCATTTGTTCATTTATTTAATGTTGATCGCTTTTCACATATTTACATTTATAACAAACTGCACCTATAAGTTGTTATTTGTAAGATTCACTTTCGCAAAATGTTGAGCTATGTCAATGGCCGATTTATTCTAAAAAATTATTCACAAAAGAAGATTTAAATTTTAAGAAATCTGCTTTGAGGATTGAAGAACTTTTAAAATCGACCCCCAATTATTAAACACAAATTCTTATTTGAAACTTTTGTAACCAATCAGTTTTTAAATTTAGTACCTATTTAACTATTTTATATTATAGGAAATAAATATTAGATTTAGAAAGAACATACCTATAGATATTTTTTTTACTGTGAGGAACACTGGTTGTAATTAATAACTAGATTTTTAGTGCTTATATACTTTTTATTTTGGAAAGTTTTACTATGCATCTTCATTCCAACTGCAACATTTTGCGTACCTAACATTATCAAGAGTCCTAAGAATAGGTGTAGCACATTAAACACTCAGAGCCGTCTACGGAGATGGACCATTTTCGTTCGTAAATGTATATTTATTCAGGTGTTGCAAAAGTAGTCGATGAAAGTTGTTGTAGTTCCATTTCAGAAACTAAATTGAAAACTTTATTTTTAGCTAACGCTTGTAGGTACGGTGAGAACTTTTTCACTGTATCCGATATATTTAAAAAGAACTGATCTAGTTCATCGTGATCATTGCCCGATAGTAGATCGTTTTGTTGGTCTAATAATCTGGACATCAAGACGGCGGATGCCGTTTGTGGCTGAACCTCACTCTTCATTATAATTATATGCAATCGGGTCTTGTTCGTGCATTTTTTAAAACAATTAATTTACCTCGACGTTTCGGCTACGTTACAGCAGCCGTGGTCACGAGGAGACTGTAATTTCCGGCCCGTATCGGTTTGCTAATAATATTTTTAAACTCACACGATTTGTATACATTATAATTATATGCAATCGGGTCTTGTTCGTGCATTTTTTAAAACAATTAATTTACCTCGACGTTTCGGCTACGTTACATAATTATAATGTATACAAATCGTGTGAGTTTAAAAATATTATTACCTCACTCTTCATGTTTTTAAACTTTTTTGCTTGACTGTGTTCCGAATGTGAAAATCTATTATTGATAGTGGATTCACCTTCTATATGACTTATAGTGTGAATCCCTGTATTTTCTGAACTAGTCGCCAACTCACTCGCACTACTGTTCATGCTTATGTCTGAAACAGGGTCCTGCATTTCAATAAACGGCTGAAACAACTGTTGAGTTGACTCTTCATCTTCGCTCGTAAGTCTAGTTGAATCTAATGTTTTTTCTGTGAGAAATTCAGTTAGAAACGACATTTCGTCGTCATATTTCCATTTCTTCAAGTGTTTAGCTCCCTGTCCATACTTTCTTTTTTTCTTATTTAGTGCTCTTCTGTATGCATCTCTCAACGCTTGCCACCTTTGTTTACACACTGCCGCTTAAAATAAAAATACAAATTTAAACAAGACAGGAAATGGCAGGAAGGATGAGACCAGTAATGTATATTGCCAAGGACTGGAAATTTTGCTGGAAACATTGCTGGCAGGGTTGCCAAAGTAGGAATTAACTGAGAGTATTAGGTAAATCTTCTATATAAGGTTTAATATTATTATATGCTAGGACTTCGTGAGGTGGATTAGTTAAGTATACTGAACAACTTTTATCATGGTTGCAATATTGAATTCAAAAAAAAATATCAGCTGTTTCTACTGTCAACGATTGTAGGTATTACAATTTTGTATCAAACATTATTAAATATCTTATATTAAATTAAATAAATTTATGATTATCTATGTACTATAAACAAAAATAGGCATTAAAATGTCTCAATAAAGAAAATTCCCAGACAGCTGCCAAAGTTCCCGGCAATATTCCTAGCAATATTTCCAGTTTATTGCAAGCAGAATACCCTAGATATATTTCTGTGAGAATACCCAATGGTGAATATAAAAGCAATGCCCTATGCGATACAATGTCATTACTGGAGTCGATTCTTTCAATGGAGCATTAGTAGTATTCTACGTCAAATAATAGCAAAATAAATATATCGTCTATTCGCTGGGTGCGCGATTTCAACGTCAACTAGCGATTACAATTACGTCGGACTTTGATATGTAAAATGGCTGGCATTCAGTATGTTAAGTAAACAAACAATAATTTAAATTAAATTCTATTTGATCGTGTAAATCTATAGGGTCGATAATAACGTTGATATTTCTTATTTGCTGTCTAAAATGCCACAATCACTTTTCTGATAGTGAAGCATTGCTTTCTCATTGCTGAAATTTGTGAATGGTGGTTTCGTCAATAATGCAGTACTTTTGTGTATTTTCATTTAAACATGACCAAATTTATTATAAAAACTTGATTTCTTACAGTCACACGGCACAGGCTTTCCACCAACAAAACAAGAATAAAACTAAACAATGAATTGTAGCGAAACAGGTTAAAGATGTAAAGATGATTATGTGATAAACTTTCATAATCTATTAATTGTGGTTATATGTTTCTTGTTCAATTATATAAAATAAATCACTTTACTATTACATATATATATCCTCTTCCCCCCGGATATCTGAGGAGATCAGACGTGTCTTGCGAAGTTACTGTTACAACATTATTTCCTAATTTAATACAATTCAAAACAGAAAATCATAAAAAATAAGAGGAGTGCATAAACGTCAAGAGTTTGCAGAGAAACAATAGCAGCTGTTGTGCTCGCGGTGCGGTGAGTCATTTACCACTACCACTAACTGCCCCGCCTACAGCTACGCACTTGCCCGCCTCTAAGGGTGTAACACTGCTTCCGCCAATTGCGTTCATTACGGTACCACTACTACTTATCGCCAGTGGCTTACCTCCTTTGCTTTCTGTATTCCTAGTACCAGCCTTGGTGTGGCGTGTAAATAACTATGCCATTAAAACGTACTCCTCCGCCGGCGAATGCTTTGCTGGGTGCAGGCCAACTTCAGCACAGTGAGTCGGCCCCGAATATTACCACTGCGCAAGAACACGAGGATGAATCGGGTGAAATAAGGGCGTTGGGGCGCAACATTAAGCGTAAGAGATCGGATTCAAGTGAAGAACTATCCAACTTAAAGTGCGAAATTACATCAATGTTTGCATCTTGGAAAGCGGAACAAGACAGCAAATTTGATACGTTGTTGATAGCACTGAATGACATAAAATCACAAAACGCGAACATACATAAATCCTTAGAGTTTTTGTCGGAAAAGTATGATGAACTTATAGAAAGAATTAACACCCTGGAACAAGATAAAAGGCATCAACGGGACTACATAAATACATTAGAGACTAAAATAGAAAATCTTGAGCGGAACTTCAAAGTAAAATCAATAGAAATACGCAATATACCTACAAAAATCAATGAGACAACGGAAGATTTAATGAAAATTGTTCAAAAAACTGGTGCTGTGATAGATTTGAAGATTGAGAAGAATGATATTTGTGATATTTACCGCACCAACACTAAAAATATTACTCAGAAGCCAATAACGGTCAACTTTAATAGCGCATTGACAAAAGAAAAGTTTCTGAAATCTGTCAAAAAATTTAATCGAGATAATCGTGGAAGTACCCTTAATACAACTCAGTTAAAAATTGATGAGGAATCAAGACCGGTTTTCGTCTCAGAATTATTAACAGCTAAGGCGAAAAGGTTGTTCTACCTTGCACGCGATTTCGCCAAAAGCAACCAATACTCATTCTGCTGGACGTCGCATGGGAGAATCTTCATTAGAAAAAATGAGGGCTCGCCACAGGTACGCATTGACGGAGAGGATCAGCTGCTCCAACTGAAGGGCAAATGACTGTTATTGAATGGTAAATACTCAAGAAATCTTAGTCTAAATTCGTATCCTATGTTGTGTTCTAACTGCTTTTTTGAATATTTCTCTTTAGTTTGTTATCTGTTAAGCCACTTTATAACGTTTACAATCCTTGATTTGGCCAGAAGGACTCTCAATTTGTTAATGACTGTGCTTATAAATAGTAATGGTGCTTGTATAAAGCGTTTGCTTGCGTCACGGAAAGCTTATATAGCGCGCCTGATATTGATGGTGTTGAACAAAATTACATTTAATTATATTATTTTGTATATACTATTTTGTATCTACATGATAAAATTAAAACTAAATGTGACAATTAATCTAGATGTAATAACTGGGTCGTGTTATTGGATAAAAAATCACACCCATAAATTATTTTACCACATTTGTAATATTGCTTTGGGACTGAAGTTTTTATTCTTGTTTAAGATCAGCCTGTGCCTAGTTTCGTATTTTTCGCGTAGAATAACTAATTGCTATTATCAAGCAAAACTTAACTTTAGAATTATTTTTATGCTAAGATATATTATAGAGTCGGGTGTTTTTCTTTGGGATACTCCTAATGTTTTATTGATTATTGTTTGTTTGTACTGTAAATTATGTGAGAATCTGATTGTAAGTGGAGCGCAGGGATTTAATCTAAATGGTGGTCAGTATTCTTTTGGAAGTTTTTTGTGTCACAAGTTACATAAACTAATAATGCCTTATCTAAGGTGCGGAAGATCATGTGCCTCTATAAATTTTATTTCTAAAATTCGATTCGCAGACTGACTATACGGATGACTTGGATTCGTATTCTCTCTCGGAAGCTACTAGTTGTTTACCGGAGGACTGTCAAACTATACTAAAACAAAAATGGTCACGGGCACTTAATGTCGTTTGTCAAAATATACGGAGTATAGATGCAAATATGGATGGTTTTTTGACTCTTATGGGAAGGATGGGCGTGGTCTTTGATATTATTGTTTTGACAGAGTGTTGGCTGCAAAAAAATCCCTTTATACCACTGATAAGGGGGTACTATCATATATCATCTACTCAACCATATAACCAAAATGATGGTGTGGTTGTTTATATAAAAGATAGCATTAAAAAAGTATCAGTGGAAGAGCCAAAACTTTTGGATGCTAGCTCTTTATTAATAAAAATTGGAGAAGATACTGCCCTACTAGCGATTTATCGACCAGATGCCTTACGCAATATCACAGATGCCTTCTTTCATTCATTAGATGTCTTACTTCGAACGCTCAGCTCCTTCCGCAACATAATTATAACTGGAGATATAAATATTGACATCAGCCCATTGAATTCAGATCGCAACTCTTCTTATTATTTAAACCTAACTGCATTGCTGGGATTTCTCCCAACTCATACTCTACCTACTCATAAGCACACCTGCCTAGACCATGTTTTACTGAAGACTACTTATCCTGCAGTTACTGTCGTTGTTGAGACCACCGTCACAGATCATTTGGCTGTTGTTTTGTCTCTTTCCATGAAGTTAGAAATGCATTGTCTCCCGGAGACTATCTCTAGAGTGGACGAAGAGAAACTGACTTCAAATCTTTTAAGTATAGATTTTGGGACAATATATCAGTTGAGTGATCCAAATCAGGCTATGGAGTGTTTCATTAATTCTATTAAAAAATCAATATCAAATAGCACCACAACATTTAACCCTACTAGAAGACGAAAAATTATTAAGCCGTGGATGACTTCAGGACTCTTAAGATGCTTACGAAATAGAGATAATCTATATAATAAATGTAAAAAGTCCCCAGACAATGTTATTCTTAGAGTCACCTACAAACGATATAGAAATTTTTGCAAATCCTTAATAAGAAATGCAAAACACAACTTTGAAAAGTCTGAATTTGCTCTAGCTGGCAGGGACCCCAAACGTATTTGGAGTATAGTAAGGGATGTTGCAAATCTTGATTCTAAAACTAAAGCTACTATTGAACTCTTGCAATTGAGACCCACTCCCGTAGAGTCAGCAAATGAATTAAACGCCTACTTTATAAATGCTGGTAAGCATCTTGCAGAGAAATGTCTTATGAATACCCCTGTAAATTGCCAACTTACTGATACAATGTATTCTTCTACTTCTCAAAATAATTCCTTCGTGCTACTCGACACTGACGAAGAAGAGGTTGACAGAATAATCATCTCACTTAAATCAGACAAGGCTGTTGGGTTGGACGGCATCTCAGCTGGCCTTCTAAAAAAGCATAAACATCTTCTTATCCCTCCTTTGACATTTATTCTAAACCTTTGTCTATCTTCTGGTGCTTTTCCGAACGTACTAAAGAAGGCAATTGTTCACCCAATTTATAAAAATGGTGATCGGAGTCTCCCTCGTAACTACCGCCCTATTTCAATCTTGCCTATTATCTCTAAAATCTTTGAAAGAATCATTAATTTTAGGCTCATTAAGTATCTTGAGAGTAACGAGCTGATTTCTGATGCTCAGTTTGGATTTCGTGCAAAAAAGTCAACATCTGATGCTTTACATGAAGTAAATAATTACCTGGTCTATAACATGGATAAGGGTGAAAGGTGTTTGGTTGTCTTTCTGGACCTGGCTAAGGCATTTGACACTGTTTCGATACCATTACTGCTCACCAAGCTGGAAAGGATAGGAATTCGGGGTACTCAACTATCTTTGTTCACTGATTATTTAAAAAACCGTACTCAATGTGTTAAATTGACGAAAAAAGTAATTAGTAATGATTTGCAGGTTTCATATGGTATTCCCCAGGGAAGTATCCTTGGTCCTACACTTTTTCTTATATTTATCAACGACCTTTGCAATCTCAGACTTCAAAATGGCAAGATAGTCACTTTTGCTGATGACACAGCGTTACTCTTCTCTGGAGATACTTGGGAAAAAGTTTTTCTGCATTCCCAAAATGGTTTAAATTCCGTATGCACATGGCTTGGTAGAAATTTATTGACTCTAAATTGTGAGAAAACTAAATACATGCCCTTTGCAATTCGCACTTCTTGTTTACCCCCGATAAATATGTCTCATATTAAGGCCCATTGTTGTGGTAACTACGATGACAATGAATGTGCATGCCATATTATACAGAGCACAAGTCATATCAGGTACCTTGGCGTTTTGTTTGATAGTGGCCTGGTTTTTTCTTCTCACATCAAAACACTTTGCGGTAGAGTAAGAAAACTAATTTTTATATTTAAAAAATTGCGTTGTGTTGCTGATATGAGTACTCTCAGAAGCGTTTATTATGCGTTATGTCAGTCAGTAGTGGGATATGGGATAGGGGTCTGGGGCGGAGCTGCTAAAACCCATCTTGTTGAACTTGAGAGGGCCCAGAGAGCTGTATTAAAAGTCATCAACTTTAAACCTCTTCTATATCCTACTCTAGATCTATATAGAATTAGCAAGGTTTTGACTGTCCGGCAACTTTTTATCTTTCATATCGTGATGAAACAGCACGGTTTATCGGAACTGCGCCAGGATCTTAGATGTTCACGTCGTAATCGATATTATCGCGTAATCCAAGAGATGCGTTGTAGGACAGCTCATGCTACAAGGTTTTTCGGTTATCTGGGTCCATTCTTGTACAATAGGTTGAATTGGAAAATTTCTATGAATGCCCTTAATAAATGGTCATGTCATAAAAAGCTTAAGGAGTACCTTATGACACTTTCGTACGCGGATACAGAATTATTGTTTCAAGTAATGCAATAAATAAATCACAAATGAATGTTTAATACCTAGTATATATCTATCTGGATAAAAAACCTAGATGTTCCTTTACAAATTTTCAGTTTCTTGATTTTGTATCTCGTTTATTGTTAATGTGTTGTGCTTGTTCACTTGAGAGTTGTATAGTAATAAATTGTAACATATTATCTAATTCATTTGGGGTGGGGCCTGGTGACCTGTAATACGGGGTTGAACCTACACAGGCACCAGTCTCCCACAAATGACTCTTAATAGAATAATCTTATTGTACATCCTTTTGTAATGTTATTTGTGGTGGAAATAAATAAATAAATAAATAAATAAAAAATAAATAAAAATATACTATTATTATTGTGATTTTAAATTAAAAGAAACTGCATTATGTTTTTTTTTTTTAATGAATGTTGTTCTTGGAAATTAGAAATTATGAATTTTATCCTTTTAGACACAATAAAAATCTAGAAAACCACCCTAGAAACATATACGGATTTATTTATTACAAAATATTAAGGACTGCAAATTTACGTATAGTTAACAAATATACAAAATATCGTGAGTACGGCATAATACATTGTGAGGAATTTCATTTAATATGAACCTTTCGACATCGATTACTGTTTTTGCCATTAAGTATGCAGCAGGTTTCGTGACGCAACTTTATTTTATTTAAAATGTATGGATGCGACAATTTCTGTAGTAAAAAGTAACAGTTCGTCTGAAAGCAATACCTGTTTTCGCCACGTTGCGCGCTGTGATTGATTTCTGGTTTTCTCACCACCTACTTCGTACTCAGCGAATACGTACCTAATACGACAAAAATCTACGGGAAATTTTGGGTAATATTGGGAGTGAAAAAAGCATGGGGCAAGTTAGAACCGTACCGGTCGCGTAACAATATCTTATATTCTCTGACAAACAGGGCGTGCATATATGGGGTCGTTTGAACATACAGCCTATTCTAAGCATTTAAAACTAGAATTAGCTGAAGATTATTTTTAAAGTTCAAGTCAATTGGTCATGGACAGATAGAATTGGTACGGAACCGATTGAGCTTTATTAGCTATAGGTTAGGTGCACAAACATCCATTATAGTTTAATGATACTTTTAAGCTCTCATGAATGTCAATTGGTATCAGTAATGCCTAACTAATGACAATTTTAATTGACATTTGTGCAACTGGCTGTGAGTCAAATAAAAATATATCTATACCTGGATGCTTCACTTCTTCCGAAATCCATTTCCATGCCATTTCTTTTTTTTGAGAATCCATATATTTTGGATGCTGCAGATTGTATAAAAATTGAAATCTACGTACACATTCTATTAGTTTTTCGTCCTCCATTTTATAACACATGCACACGTCTCTGTAAACTAAGACTACGTTAGTGCAATTCTGATGGAAGATCCATCAAGTGTCTTACGGAAGTATGCATCAGTACTCTACTGATATTATCATGTGTGCAAAGTTAAATTCCGACTTTCTATGACCGTACTTTACTTTTGTTGACAGACCTCTGGAACCTCAGCCAGCAACTCATCTAGCCCGCGAATTTATGATCAAGACACGCCGACGCAAGGGGCTCAGCGAGGATGTCTCTATCAACAAATTCTTTGATGATCCTATGTTGCTTGAGTTAGCTAGACAAGATGTGCAACTCATAATTTAGTATTAAAAATATTTAGTCAAATAAATGTAGTTTTATTATTATTCATATAATTCCTTTGACTCTATGGGTGCTTTTATAATACATATAAACATAGGTAAATAAATTAGTTGTATGTAAAAAAACTAAAATTTCCTATATTTCTAGAAAAGGAACTTGCATAAAAATTTGGAAAAGGTAATAGCCATTTAGTTTGAAAACTATTTCATAGGAACTGATATTATCTTAATATCTCAAAATGTGTTACTTAGCAGCTCAAAACGGTTGATTATACTAAAGTACGCATCCTAATCCCTAGAACCTTTAACTGAGTAAATAAAACACAAAACAATGTATTTTCCTAAGCAACTGTATTCAGTATTACATTATACTGAAAATAGTACTCTGCTGTGCTAAACTCTGTTAATAGACAGCAGCAATTCAATTTTTCGTTTCTGCTCTTCTATGATTTTGCCAGCATCAGCTTTCAGGTTGCAATTGTGTGTTATTATTTGTTCGGTCTGACTCTACTTGTTTGTTATTGTTTGAGAACCGCTATTTATTTTAGCATCAGAAAATGAAGCCGAATTTAGAAATTCTGTCTGACAATCTGACATTGACAGAAGGAAGCTTACTTTTTACTCGTTCTTTGCGAAACAGGCTATATATTATATTAATATATATATATATATATATTAATAAGTACGTAGTACTTATTAATTCTATGGGCTACGGTTATTCACCACAGCGCACCCGAGAAAAGTGACATTTAAGTGTAGATAAAATATGCTACGCGTGCTGCTGCACTAAGACAGAGAAAGAACTTCTTCGTCTTCTTTTTAATTAATGGCGTTGCCCTTGTGGAATCCAGTGTTTCGCACAGATTACCTTATATTTTAGTATTGTATTTTATAAACTTTGTTTTCTGTAAGTTGGTAGTGAAAGCTCAAGTTTAGAATTTTGTTGGAAACTGGGAATATACTTTACTCTTTGACTAATTGTCACTGTCATTGTCAAAAACACGCTGGACAGTCTTTTTGAGTGGTGTTTCTGTGTTTGATATTCCATTTTACTTCGCTGTGTAGTTTATTATTCCACGACAGTAATTGTGAATAATAGCTATTAATTAAGTAAATAATCACAAATATTTCACTGACCTTTTAATAAAAATGGCACGCGGCAAGGATAAGAAAAAGTATGTTTCTTTTACATTTTATTATTTTGCTATATTTTGAAGTCCATGCTTACTAACTTTATTTCCATAGGCGTAAATTAGAAAAAAAGCAGGAAGGCGATGATGTACCCAAGAAAATTCCGCATACCCTGGAATCCCTTAGGGAGAAAGATGAGACTATGTTGGCAAATACCGAGGCAGAAGAGCAAGAAGAGGTTAGATTCAGTTTTCATAATAAAATAAGAATTTAGTTATTAATATAATAAACATGTACGAGTGACCAGCATGATATAAGTTTATAATGCATCTATTGCAAAATATTATTATTATTTATTATGTTAACTTTAGATTTATATTAAATTTATCCTTCCAGGCACAAAAGGACTTGGAGCTAGATGATCTGTCATCATATTATGAAAATACATATGAACCCAAAGTCCTGATCACTTACTCAGATAATCCACATAGCAAAACTAGGATATTTGGCAAGGAACTTGCTCGAATGATTCCAAATTCTATCTCTAGGTATCGGCAAAGGTAAGAAAATTCTTATTTTGTCTTAGTTGAAGTTTTAAATATTTAAATCTATTCTAAAAATGCCAATTTCTATTTTAGGTCTTCAGTAAAACGCATTGTTCAATCTGGTATTAGAGAAGGAATTTCAGATGTTATAATAATAAATGAAAACCAGAAGCAGCCTAATGGTTTCCTTTTGATACATTTGCCTGATGGGCCTACTGCACACTTCAGACTGTCTAGTTGCAAAATAACACCAGAGTTGAAAAAAGATCATAAAGAAATAACCACTCACAGACCAGAGGTGAGCCATCAATCATACATCTAAAAAATGTAAAGATATTTATGATTACATATTCTTTCTGAAGTTTACAAGCCAAGATAGCTGAAAATTTTTGCTTGTAAGCTTCAAAAAAGATAAGGACTAGAAAAAGTAGTGATCATTTATATAGGTATATTGTTACCTCAGAATGAACACTGAACCATAGAGAAGACAACACCATTAATTCAGCTTCTAAACCATTTTACCACAGAAATTGTTATGATTCTCTTATATTTAGCACCCCTTCTTATTGAAAAACATTATTATTGTGTATAATATCTATTCTATCACTTAAATGTTGTAGGTCGTTTTGAACAACTTTAGCACACGTTTGGGTATGACAGTGGGGCGTATGCTGGGTGCTTTGTTTCACTACGAGCCTCAATTTCGTGGACGTCGTGTCGTCACTTTCCACAACCAGCGAGACTACATATTTTTTAGGCATCATCGGTTCGTAAGATTTTAATTTCTTTCATTAAAATTTGGTAGCTTTTATAATTAATTCAATTTCTCAATTCAATTAATTTGGTAGAGAACTCTGCTGTTCCTGTTCTACCAATATTGTTGGGACACTACAAAAATATCAGCCTTTTTCCATTTATAAAATGTGAAATTGACTAAGCATAAACCCAGGTATTCAATGGCAACATTTGTTTGAATATTATTTGTAAACAATGTTGTCATCTTTGTATACAGTTTGTAAACACAACAGATAACCTCCAATAGATGCCGCATGAAAGACAATAAGCTGTGGCTAAGCATCTACAATACTGCATAGATTGTTTTAACAAAAGTATTAATAAGTGCATGTGAATGCTCAGTTACGACTTAGTGTTCGATCTATAAATATATGCTTTGATGAGATGACTTTTCTTTGTATACTTGTTCGTTATTTAAAAAGTCCAAAGTTTGCAACTTGCATTTTTCATCTAAATTAACTCTCTTTTAAAGATTTGCTTTGAAGGCTAGCTTAATGTTTTTATATGAACACGGTGGTGCAACACTTATTTTTATGTATGTTTTCTGTCTCAGTGCATTTTATCATAGCTATAAATTAAAAAGTGTAGCAGGTAGCAAAAATGGTTATTTTTTGGGGAGTATTGTTTTTTTTTTCTATCGGAGTTATAATTCACGTTTTGTTTTGAATATCTAAAATGTGATATTGTTCTCACATTCTTAATTACCACTCATATTAACGTATTTCTTTGTACAAAATCGATTTTAGCAAGTTATTCTTACTCGCTGATTGAAAGTATGTGATTTTAGGCGTTCTCGCATTTACTCAAATCTTGCCGTTGGATGCCTTGTCCATCAATTAGTTTATAAAGCTATAAATTGTGAATTATATAAAAATAAATGTAATAAAATATATTTTTAATGATATCAAATTGTAACATTTACATTATATCGATCAATTATCGACATGCCTTTAACACATTATGGTTCCCATCACTACGGAATACGTGCCTTTGTACTAGCCAATAGCGTCGCCGCAGTTACCTCGCCCGCCAACTACCCTACCGTATTGGCATCTTTATTTCTTTAACAAAATAGCCAGCATGCGGTATCTATTGGAGGTTATGTTTGATAAACAATGAAGATAAAACAGCGATCATTTTGTTGTGTTTCCTCTCCAAGGAAGACAAAACAAATACCTATGTATGGACATGTTATGTCCAGATGTGTGTCAGTTACACATTTCACTTTTTTGGTATATAATTATTTAAATTCTTAGTGTTGTAACATCAGTATGTTAGAACAGTAATATAGCATTAGAACATTGGGATAGTCAGAATGGTTAAATACTTTGTGGTTGTTGAGATTATTTCTGTATTTTAATCTACTCTATGGAACCCTATAGTGGTCGCAGTAGTAGTCGCAGGATGTTTCAATGTTTTATGCTAAAATTGGATTTTAAAACATGAAAAGTTTTAAAACAATGAGGTTCCAGTTTAGAAGATTTAACATGTACATTATTTCTTAATTATTTCCTACAAGTATTTACTTTAGCCATTTATAGCCGTTATGTCCTAAACTGATAAATAATGGATGAAAAGAAGACTTAGTAAGTTTATTGGAATTCATTGAAATAACAGAGTTCTTGCTGTGGCGCTGCTGGGTTGACGTAAGTCTGGCAGCGCCACAGCTAGAAATCTGTCAAGAGACTCCTCTTTATTTGGAAACTGCGTACCTAACATATCTGCTATTTCTTCCTATTTCGTAAAAAACATGAACTGACAAGCTACTCTATTAATACCAAATTTGTTTACTTCATCCTCTAGCGAAAACTAACAACTGTAGACCACCAAGGTGAAGAAACAGCAGGCCCGGATCTATGTTTTTTTTTACCGCAGCAGAAACTTCGTATGGCACCCTAACACCGGATTTTATAATTTTGCATTTTTTTAGGAGGTATTATGTAATGATTTTGCCCCCCTCCCACAAAAATTTGTTAACATGTCATAAACAATTTATTTACCAATAAATATCCGGATTCAGCTGTAATCTGTTTTATTTTTTATAGGTATGAATTCACTAAAGACGGCAAGCGTGCCAAACTGTTGGAGCTGGGTCCGCGGTTTACCTTGAAGCTAATGTCGTTACAGCAAGGCACCTTCGATTCTAAACACGGGGACTACGAATGGATCATCGCTGGTCGACGCCACCAACTCGAGACGTCCAGGAGGAAATTCTTCTTATAGTAGAAATAAATATAAGTTATCTATCTCAAGTTTTATTACTAGCGTTTATCTCCTGTTTGAGCTTACTTTAAATTCAAGTGTATAGTAAAGAAACAATATTTTTGAAAATAAAATACTTGTAATTTATTATCACTTCCTTGAGACTGACAGCTAATTTTGCTATATATAAATTTCAATCAAATGACATGTCCGGGATTGCAAATCTATTCTAATAATAAAGCTAAAGAGTTTGTTTGTCTCTATACTTTTAGAAATTGTTGGCTCGGCTATAATTTTTTTATATTGAATAATCAAATATAGAGGAAAGCCAGGCCATATAATATCACGCTATGACCAATAGGTATTCCTATTATCCTACCAATAGGTATTTATATATAGGTATATAAAAAACGGTGAATGTTACGCAAAAATTATGTATTACGAAATTGATACCGTGTTAAAGTTCTAAAAAAGTCGGCGACAGTATATGTCTATTTTTATCTTATCCAGAAAAATAACACAAAGGGATGAAAATGAGAGTAGAAGACTATATTGGCCAGGGGCTCTCAAAATTATTTTGTCTACTGCCCATTTTGAGAATAAATTGTTACTAGCGCCCCTATTTTTTCACATTCTTAAAAACCACTATAACTTCGAAATAAATTAATTCATTGTTGTAAGTGAGGCTTTTATTATAACTCGGAAGAGTCAACTTCAAACCTAAGCGCAGTACGTTATACCTACACGAAAATGACTATTAAAACGAAAATATAGTATTCAAACAGCGTATCTTTTATACAAAATAAAACATAATATTGATTCTTATATAAAAACAAATGTGGATGATGAATCTGATGCTGTTTAATGAGTCTGTTGAAATCGGGTTTTATTGAGGAAGTACTTAAAAAAGAATAAGTTCCAGAAATCAAACTAGATGACGCTACGGTACTTTCTTGATTTCTCCATGACAACCTTTCCCGTTTTCTTTCATGTATAAAATTAAATTTCAAAACTTAATTAACAACTCGTATTCTATGTGTACGTTTTCGTATTTATATTAATATGTAAGTTTCGAAGTTTGCAAATTTCAGTTTTTTAATGTGTTAGTCAAAAGGAACGGAAAACATTATCTTTGGTCCCTCAGTTTCCTGCAAAAATATCATCAATTCGTCTTTGCACAGAATTATTACTCATAGGAGTTTTTCGGATAATCTCTGCGGCTGGTATGATTAATCTATGAAGCATAGGAGTTATTACTTCTATTATTGCTGGCAAAATTAACTCTTCCTCGATGTTATGTTGTTTGCTTTTTTAAGCAATTAACAATGAGATATTGTACAAATCTCAAAGTCCGTCGGCATCTTGCAAAATACGTAAGTAAGAGTTGAATTTAATTAGGTACTACTTATCTATTAGGCGCGAAACCGCAAAAGAAAATAAATATTAAGTTGATTATATAGGATTGCATAAGCAGCACGCACTGACAGGAAGAAAACAAACATACATAAACTTGTTTATCTCATTCGACGCTTAATCATACTCAAAAAGTAAGAACTATTATATGAACCAGCCGATTGATACAGGAATGCACAATTCGATTTATTACATTAATCCATTTTTGGCCTTGACAAACACAAAAAAAAACAGACGAATCGAGAATCTCCGTTTTTAAGACGTTTAAAAATAGCGACTAAAATTCAAAGTATCTGAGTTAAATAATAAATTGGCCAAAAAAATAATGAGTGAACGAAACTAGATTCATTCGACACCTAAAAATTGAAGAGGTGTAGAATATCCGTTGGCAGAATTTGTTGTTAAGCACCAAAATCTCTGAAAATTCTGAATTGAGAAAGCAAGAACGTGCTGACTGTTATTTTGAGAATCAGTCAGAATCTTGCATAAGCAAATCATAAGGTTGTTTTACGCCCTTAAAATGAAAGTCCAGAATAAGCACAGTAATCATATATCCAAGCAAAATTATTGCGTTATGAATAGACTGGACTATTCTATAAAGACATGCGCGTTACAAAAGAAACACCGGTAATTTCCATAATCGGTTCCATCTATTGAGCATGGCCTAGCTTTGGGAACGTTGATAAGCTAATGATGATATAAAAGCGGATGCTTACTGGCAGACTTATTTACCGGGTGGATTGAAAAGTTGCGGCTTCAGCAAGAAAACAATATAAAATATAAGCAAATTTTTTTTTTAATTTGCGCATTCCGCACAATTCTGCCAATGTCAAGTAAATAAATTAATTGTTAGATGTAAAATGAAATGAATGAAAGATGTCCCAGTCTAATTTAAATACAGTTAATGCTATTGCGATAGAATTTTATTATTTGTCATCCAGAGAGTAAACTAATCGAATGAGGTCAGTTACATTAAAATATTTTAAGTATTTTGTGTTAGGCCGCGAACTTTTCAATCCACTCTCGTAAGACTCCAGTATAGCAAGCCAGTGTGCACACAGTACACTGGGGCCACGTGGGCGAAGTCGCGGGTCACAGCTAGTTCAATATATGTAGGCTTTTGGTTTATTCCAATAATAAACCTGGAAGTAATCTAGAGTAAAGAGTAATTTGAAAAAATAAACTTTAAAATTATATTAATGTTTATTTATGGAAATCATGAAAAATAATATAATAAATACATTTATTTGCAAGTTTCATTTTTTAAGCAGACAATTTCCTTCATTTGCAATACCTGTAAACAAAATTATATAATTATTTTATTGAAAAAATTACAATTAATTTAATAGAAAAAAATGTATAAAAATTAATTAGAAGAACTAGTTTCTAGGGAAAAAAAATTGAAAAATAGACTGATAAAAACGTCTAAAATTGTTGCCCCATGACCTAGCAATACTTAAGAATTATACCAAACAATAATCTTGTAGTGAGTCTATATAACCAAGGCATAGACTAGAACAACAACCCCAGCAGTTTTGACCACAGACACTATTTGTCTGGTTTACAGGAATATTGTTAGTATTCAAATATTCCATAGGATTCCAGACAATAAAAAAAAATTGAAGTTAACATTTTCACTCTAAATTATTGAAGACAAAAAAAAAATCGGCACCAGTATAGAAAAAAAAAAATTTAAAACATACCTAACGTCATCCAAAGAGCTCCGGTATTATAGTTGATAATAAACTTGATTTGTTGGATGCTGCAGATACCTATGATAAATAAATTCATATTATTCAATTGGTAATGTACGGTAGAAATAACAATTCATCAATTTTTAATCAGACGCGTTTGGTTGGTCAACATGAGTAATTGGGTTCACTCTGTCGAGGGAGACCTGAATGGTCGGTCATCATATTTTAAATTATACATTAAAAATATTATAAACAGATTATTCATAATATGAGCACAAATATTGTTGTTCAAAAGGAAGCTCCAAGTGCCAAGTGTTTTAAACAAAGTTCAGTAAAAAATAAACAGTTTTAGGTGAAATTTTTAACTTTGTATCTTAGGAAATACTGATCATTGGTCTGATTGTCTAATGTCAAAATTTAATAACTTAAAAACTAACTTTAGCGTCTAACGGTTGCTTGAGACAATTCCAATCAACAATACCATTTATTCTATATCTTTCAAAGATGTCACAATTACTACCACATGTCGAATAGAAAGGGATTGCTATACATTTTAAAATTAGATCTAATTATGAAAATATTTCTGTAGATAAATGTGGAATATGCCTTACGTTATTTCAGCCACTAGCTCGAATACCAGCTTGTCCATCTCAATCTAAAACAAGAACTATGATTATTACGTCATCCTAAACAAATGTACAGATTTCTTTGTTAATAAAAAATCAGACGCGTTTGGTTGGTCAACATGGTTAATTGGGTTCACTCTGTCGAGGGAGACCTGAATGGTCGGTCATCATTTTATACAAATATTCTATAATTACTTTCAAAATTATATTATATGAAGCGAAATCAGTATAAGTCACTTTCAGTTTAATAAATTTAGGTAAAATATTTTTCGTAAAAACAAATTCCTAGTCAACTTGCATACACTACATTCTACTTTAATTGCTAAAGAGAGTAAAATAATGTATTTGTAAAAGAATTAGAAGAAATTACCTAAATCAGTTCAGCTCCTATGCTTATTTACATGCAGTGTCCCTGTAAGAATAAATAGAACTAAATATTGTGTTATTAATGAAAAAAAAAGCAAATCAAACAAACAATATTATAATCAGACACGTTTGGTTGGTCAACATGATTGATTGGGTTCTCTCTGTCGAGGGAGACCTGAATGGTCGGTCATCATTTTATACAAATCTATATATATAAAAATGAATCGCAAAATGTGTTGGTAAGCGCATAACTCAACAACGCCTCGACCAATTTGGCCAAATCTTTTTTTAAAATGTTAGTTCAAGGATGGTTTTTACGGCGAGAAAAATTAGAATTATTGCTGGAAAAACCCTAAAAATAGCCCTTTTCTTTTTCCCATACAAATGATTTGTAACTAAAACGTAGTCAATTTGAGCTTTATTGCTATGGTATAAAGTTCATATTAAATTACAAGCACTCACTGTTGTCTAAGCAATGTAGGTGTGTTCCTAACGTCAAAGATCATATCTATCACAAAACAATGTGCGTGTGTGCGTTGGAGCCCAGAATACATAGTTGGAGGAGTTTAATGTCGCGTTCCGAAACTCGCGTTTCTTTTGTATTAGTTTCGGCACGCGAGATAAAATGCATCAGTTTTCACGTCATTACATGTATTGCCGGAACATTGATGAAAATACGCTCTGTAGTAGCAAAGCTGTTGGGTCCTAGATAGCTCATTGGTTAGAGCATTCCCTGGATCGCGAATGGGTTCGAGTCCCATTCCGGGGTACAGGTAGATGGATTCTTCCAGCATTTTTCCTTGAGAATGTTTATATATTTTTTTAATTCGAATAGTTTACTTTTATAATGCTGTTGTGTGTAATGTGTTTTTATGATCATAAAAATCTCTTTTTTCTATATTTAATACTATTACTATTAATACATTGCAATAATAATTATGATTCACATGATTAACAATAAAGCGATTACTTACTTTTAAATCCTTATATATGTTTTATTTAATTATTTTTTATTCACAACGCCCTATCACCAGGGTGACGGTTCTGTTCAGGAGAATTTTTTTAAATACGTAGGCAAAAAAACTGCCACATTACAAATCTTTTTGACAGGACGAAGTCTGTCGAGTCAGCTAGTATTCTATAATTACTTTCAATATTATATTAAGGGAAGCGAAATTAGTATCGGTATAAGTCACTTTCAGTTTATAAATGATAAATTTAGATAAAATATTTTTCGTAAAAACAAATTCCTAGTCAACTTGCATACACTACATTCTACTTTAATTGCTAAAGAGAGTAAAATAATGTATTAGAAGAAATTACCTAAATCAGTTCAGCTTCTATACTTGAAATATTTACATGCAGTGTCCCTGTAAGAATAAAAAGAACTAAATATTGTGTAATTAATGACAAAATAAGCAAATTAAACAAACAGTATTATAATCAGACGCGTTTGGTTGGTCAACATGATTGATTGGGTTCTCTCTGTCGAGGGAGACCTGAATGGTCGGTCATCATTTAATTTTGTTAACAGTAAAAAATATTGCATTTTTGCATGACAATCTAATTACCTCAAAATGCTCTCGTGAGCTGTAGCTAGAGTGTATTCTGCTGTTGTTGGAAATTGAGTGATAAAATCTGTAACAATAAAACAAATATTGAACGGAGAACTTGTATTATATGTTTTCAGTTTGAAACTGTGTCTAATCAGTGAAGATAGTTAATGTAACAGCACTATGTGTCAGATGTCCCTATCAAAAATCATCACATATAAAATCATCTATTCTGTCTAGCTGAATATATAAATTAAATAAAAGAGAAGTTATCACACTTTTTAATCGACTTACCAACAGACTTTCACAATTTGTGGTTTCATGCACAAAAGGACAGCTCCTGCAGAGACATTAATAAATTAGATAACTAGGTAGTAAAAAAACAAAAATCACATTATTCTGATGCATTCTCAATCAGTTGTGATAGTACAGACACAGCATTATAAATCAGATGTCCCTATCAAAAATCATCATAATCATAAAGTCCTCTTATGACATTGGTATTCCTGATTGCAACTCTATCAGACAGTTGCACAAACGTCATCATGTATTTAGTTTAAAGCAACATTACCGATACGAATTTGGTATTAGAGCATAAAGGTGTCATTCAATTTTAATGACATTTGTGCAACTGACCGTATGTATTTTTAAAAATAATTTTACTTACCAGCATAAGTCTTGTTGAAATAATAATATCTGTAACCAAGAAACAAACTCAAATGTAGAATGCAATTAAGCTATATTTATTGCTAATTATTAATTAGTATTATCAGATAGGAGCGAAAGACATAATAAAGTTATACATCAAATAGATCAGATGAACTATGAAATCATCATTGAATATAAAAAAATAATCAATTAATTATGTAAATAAATTCAGCCACAACAACTACCTTGGTATTCTGTATCTCCTTATTACCACTGCTCTAACCTACAAAAGAAGAGAAATCATAAGTTTACACTTTTCTAATGAGTATTTAGAAAGTATAGTAAAAAAATTATATCAGATAGCTTAATAGCTATGCCATATGCATCAGCACCCACAATTAGTTACCTATGCTACAATTTGGAAAAATTTTACAAAAACAACTAACATTAACAATGAAACAAAATATACCAACTAAGTTACGATTGAAGTTAATAATTAATGTCCCTAATCTCATAAAATTCTAATTGTGGGTCAACTGAAAGTTTTCAGCTGCACTGCGATATCATCATTTGATTTCTTGATTTTATATAAATAAAAAAAAGAAAGAAAAGAAAATACCACTTCATAATCTAAAAATTACTAATGGTAATTCATGAATATAACTCACACAAAGTCTTCTTTCTTATTCCATTTCAGCAAACATAGGACTTCAACCTGTAAGAAGGTAAAATTCTTGAAATTTAGCACTTCATAGAGATAACTCGATTATTAAAAAGTTGTCATCAAGTCAGATAGAGCTAATATACATGCAAATCATTTTGTTTCAATGGTTAGCACTTTTCATCATTTAATATAATTTATTCATTAATATTTTACAGCAATTTTAGGATTAAAAAATAACTTAATTTATCAACTCTTCCAATTTTTATTTTTTACAAAACAGTATATTTGTATTAAATTAAGACAATTACATACCATTCACATGAGGTTTTTGATATTTCCCTTGCACAAAAATGCGAGGAACATCAATTCCTTCTTTTAAATTAACAGTACGACGCTGTACATATGTGTTCATAAGGATATGAAATCCAGCTTCAGTGAATAATTTTGCTAGTTCTTCTTCTGTGAAGTAGTAACTCCTGAAAAATAAAATATTTTCGTTAATATTGCTCAAAAATAACAATAATATTGAAATAAATAACACAATAAAAGGTATAATACCTAGTTCCGTCTTGACGCATGTAGAAGTTGTCAGATATTTTATGTCCTGGTTTGAATCGGAGCTGAGCCATGTCATATCGTCCATAGTCTCGAAACAAGAGGATACCGCCTGGTTGAAGCGCTCGAAACGCAACATCGAGTACTTTAGACCATGAATTCGGATGAATAGCAGAAAGTACAAAAATAAGACTCGCTAAGTTTGCACAGCCTTCGTTAATGTTCTCAAACAAATCGTCAGTAGTTAAATCTGCGCAAAATGCTTTCATTCTATCTTCATCATATAGCGGGTTGGTTTTCACGAACTCAACAGCACGTGGTGAAAAATCACATGCGTAGAAAAAGAAATTCGAGAAACCTTCTTGTAATAACGGATATACCATGTTTCCAACACCACATCCAAGCTCTAAAAATACCACGTTTTCTTGCGGATCAAAATTGATAAGTTCTTGAAACTCACGTGTTGTCCAATGCCTATCGCGAAAGAATTTGGTCTCGTTGCGTTTGTAAAAAATATCCCAGTGTCGTTTTGCTTCACGTTCTAGTTTGGCGGCTTTTGCTTCTGGGATCAACCGAGAGTTCTGACTTTCCAAGCGTTTTTTATCTTCTTCTGACAATTCCTTCAACCGATGAACAAACACGTCCCCCATATTTTCTGAAGGATCGGTTTCCATCGGTCCAATCAAAAAGATATAGAAACACTTTTGTATTTTAAATTACAGTAACACATTTCTTCTATTAAATTTTAAAAATATTTTTGCTATGTACAATTTGATTACTTATTTATAAGCACAGTTTATAAGAGTGGAAAAGAAAGACGTCATGGTCGGGATCAGTCGGGGCCACAGACCAAGAAGTTGAAGAATGAAATACTAATAGTGATGCGCTAGAGTCCCGTTTTTAGTCGAACACTCCAATGAATTTTACAACTTCGTATTCGAGTGAAAAAAATATCACTTGGTTTTCTATGCACTCAAGTTATCGAGTCAACTCGGCGCATCGAGATGATTCTCTTGCTACTATACTCCATTCTTTAAAACATTAGAAAAAAGAGGATCACAGAAGCAGCAGTGTAGGTAGTCTGAAACAGTTGGGCAATTTTTCATTTTCTCGGGGTTAGATGAGGCTAGCATTTTCTAAATCCACCTTTTACTGGGAAGCCAACATAAAACTTTAACTATCTATTAGTTGTTTAGATAAATTGTAATAGTAAATTAGTTATATTTATGCCAAGGAAAGAAAGGTAAACAAAACGAACTTTTTATTATTACTTTTATAACATTTATTACACTAATGATTAGGACATTGGAAAAACTTCCTGAAATGTCAAAGGTAATTGTTGTTTTCTCGGGCCTGCACCGGAATCGTCCATATTTAGCAAAACTTAACAACAAAAAAATAACAACTAAAACAAAACTATAAGAAAACAACAATATCAACTCAATCACGGAAAACGGCAAAACTACAAGAAAGGCATTGCAATCAATGTCACTCTCAGATTACGATTTTGACTATTATGAATACATCATAATCTGACAAAATTAAAAGCTGTACTACCGAAACGTTTGAAGGGATTAGGTAACGTTTTAAATTTGGTAGAGTTATAGTGACATGAGAATCGTGCCGAAACTATCCAACCCTGCTTCTTTAGGTTCTTTAAGATAAACAATTTTTATTGTAATAGTTATTAAATCTTTTATGATAGTCAAATACTCATAAAGAACAATGTTCAAAATGAGTTGAATTTAATTATTATATACCAACAATTTATTTTTAAAAGCTGGGAAAAGAAAGATAATCCTCTCTAAAATATGTCTTTATTTTTTAGAACGCAGTTTAAATTATGTTATTTTTCAACGCATCTTATTAATAATGTCATTCCTAGAGAAGCCCCTCCCTTTTCAAAGAACAAGATCGATTTTATTTCTGACTAATCGATTTTCATACAAATCTTATATTATTTAGTTACCATATAAATCCGTGAAAATTATAAAACTTAGATTAGATTACTAATATAATAAGATGTTACTTAGAGGAAAATAGTTTATTTACAATGAAATTAAAAACAAATGATTATTCCAAAGAATCGATATTACAGTACTCAATCGATTGCGACCTCCTTTTTATAGGCAAGTATGTGTAGACGTGTTTCTACGCATTCGATTTTATTTCAACAAGATCGATTTTATTTTTGACTAATCGATTTTCATACAAATCTTATAATATTTAGTTACCATATAAATCCGTGAAAATTATAAAACTTACATTAGATTACTAATATAATAAGATGTTACTTAGAGGAAAATAGTTTATTTACAATGAAATTAAAAACAAATGATTATTCCAAAGAATCGATATTACAGTACTCAATCGATTACGACCTCCTTTTTATAGACAAGTATGTGTAGACGTGTTTCTACGCAGACCGTTTTGTAACTTTGGCGGTGATTTTGTATTATATTCTGTATTATGGGGAGCATACTAGGTTCTAGGGAGAATTCAGGTCTGGAGAGAAATAGCGGATTCTCTGGATTTATTAGAATTAGACTTAAATATAAATAAAGTCCTAATTATAAGGGGTAGAATTAAGTCGAGACATTGGGAGGAAACAATATTATGTGTACATTTAAAAAAATAATGACACATCCTGGTTAGATGGCATAAGAGAACACTGCTGTAATTGTCTTATTGGTCGATGTAAACTGGGATGCTGTGCTTATATAATAATCTATGTCGCTTATTTTTTAATTTTTTGATTACTTAAATAAATAGTATGTCAAAATTCTATTATTGTGTATTTTGTTTATGTATTTGTTTAAAATTACTAAAAAAATCTCACTAGAGTACCACATTTGAAATTTTTCACCCATATAACTCAAAACTCGAGTGGAGTATTTAATTGGCTTGAGTCGGAAAATCCTACTCGAGGCACAACTATCTCAAGGAGGAAGTATTAAAAAAAAAACGAAACTACAAAATTTTATGTCGCTAGATGGAAGCACAAATTGTAGGGTTTAAATGTCAATTCATGACGTTAGACCAAAAAGAATAGAATTGTCAGTGTTGTTTATGGATGTGATAATTCGGATTAATATCGAGTTGAAATTTAGTTATTCGAGTTACGCAAACGCAACTCGAGTAATACCAACGATTAACTTTTACTTTTATTAGTATAAAGGAAAATGGAAACTAACGTAATGGAACTGAGCATAGAGAGGTTTTTTAAAAGTTATAGAAATCGATATTATTAAAAGTTTTTTTTATAAATAACATATTTATTCCATTTTTCATTAAAATATTTAACAAAAGATCTAAAAACAATAATAAATAGTTTTGTTGCTATTAGTTGAATTTACAGCAACAAAACTTCATTAAATCTCAATGATATTTTCATAATATGTTAATGAATGAATAGGGTTTATTAATCAGCAACAAAGGTATAAAAAACGATATTAAACAATAAAAAATCCGTTTGTTGTCTTTAAACTTACCCGATATGTATCAAATATACTAAGTACTCGTAGAAATAACATAGTTTCTGGTTAGAATGACATTTGTACAAAGTATAAGATTAAATAACTTAATTTCGAAAGGACAACTTATGCAAATAATATCTATTTGTTTAAACTAAGATCAGTTATGAAATCTTATTGTCATAATTAAATTATCTTAATAGAGATTCAACAATCAACAAGAAACGTCCGTTCGAAAGGTTCTTTAAAAGGTTATAATTTTAAATTTAAAAATCAAAAGACATGTTCAGATATTATACTATCGCTACTGAACTTGTATGTCGACGGCAAACGTGGAGCATGGTGTTTTGTTAATTCGTATGGTGGGTATGTGCTTTTTTTGGTTCTTACTATAATATTGTCAATTATTTATTTGACTTCCTACGCCGCCTACACTTTTAAATCAGTTTTATTGAAATATATTATTTCTGAATTATCTAGAGTTACTACTCTATCTTAAAAATCTCTGCGGTGGTGTCGTGTGCGTTGGATCGTAACTTTCCCTCAAATACAATTTAGCGAAGCGATGGTTGGCTCTTGCGTCAAGCTCGTCAACGGGTGCTGCCAGTAGGAGTGAGTCTGCACTGGACTACTTATTCGTTTATTTTCTTTTATTATGAATATTGTATATTGATTTGTCAATGAGTGTGTATGACTTGGCAACCAAAATATTAATCAGTAATCGAAAAATATATGTTTTGTTATTTCTGATATTGAAAATAGACTTCATTATCTAATTAAGTTACATTCCAACAAGACTTCTATGTGTAAAAATAAAACCGAGAGAATAAAGCAGCCCTTGATGAGTTTCTTGTTGGTTCTTCTCAGTACAAGTTCACCCCCCATAGTTTTGCGAATCATTGGCATAGTTTTCGACTGTCTCTAGTATTATGTAACACCCTAGACATAATTGATTTTGATATTTATATTAATATCATTCGAAGCTGAATTCTGCGCTTCGCTTTTTGTTCTTCATTCCAAACCTGAATTCGGATGAAAGTTACGAGCAACCAATAAGTTGGCTCATCACTAATGTTGACATATAAACCATACATTTTTCCTTTACACCTAACATAATAAATAACTTAAACTTACGATTCAAATAAATAAAAATTAATTTGAAAATTAGATATAATAAGAAACACAAAACGATGTCATATGTATTAATTTTCGATACTCAATTTACTTTTATTACGTCAGAAATAAAATTTGAATAAATATCATAGACAAAATTCAAACATCGCGAGTGACATCTAGTATGATTTTAAGAACTAATTTTTATTTTTTAAATACGTCCTCATTAAGGATGCCCGCTGATCATCAATGTAAGACGATAAAATATCGATGGCGAATTAAAAAAAAATATTGATCGTTAATCGAAATTAATGAAGGCTTCCACTCGGAGTACGTGTTTATTAAATTCAATGGTATGGTATGAACGGTAATGGTATGAATGCTACCAAACTAAAATAACTTCGTCTTGTTTGTTCCATAAAACTTTCACGACGACATGTTATTTCGTCATTGAAAGGATTACTGTTTTTTTGCGTCTTTGCGTCTTCGCACTTAGATGTCTTTATTAGTTCTTTGTACATAAAAAATTGGCTGTATTATTTCATTCAACACCATTGTCCAGAAGCGCATATGCTTTTTAGGGTCTTCACAGACTCTCAGAATTGTTGATAGGCTGCTAAGTATTTGTCCTCAGTGTGTGCTGCCAGACTTTCGCATTCCAGGATTGCATCGGTGTTAGTTTCTCAAAAAGGAAGTATTAAAAAAAAACAATGGGTCCCGAAATTAAACTAGATGTCGCTACGGTACGTTCTTGATTTCTCCGTGACAACCTTTCCGGTTTTCTTTTATGTTTACAAGTAAATTAGTTTTCAAAACTCAATAAACAACTCATATTCTCTTTGTTCATTTTCGTATTTGTATTGATATCTAAGTTTCGAACTTTTCAAATTACAGTTTTTTAATATGTTAGTTAAAAGGAACCGAAATGACAGTCTTTGATCCATTTGTTTCCTGCCAAAAACAGCTTTTGGTAAAGTCCCCATCTAGTGGAGGTTCTTTTTTAGTGCTTTCCTTTTTTTAATACTTCCTCATTGACATACGCACTTTAGAAGGAAAGTGAACAATGTCTAGTTCTTCCCCAGTTCAAACAGAACAAATACCTGGCTAGTTTTGGTTTGGTTTGCAGTAAAGCTTCTCTAGATTTTCACTAAGTAACCGCTTGTGCACATCGTTGTTTATAATGGGCGAAAGTGCGCGACCTTATCCATGCTCTAACCTGTGAAAAGGTAGTGTTACCAT